TTGAAAACTATTCGTTGTCCCATTTTAAATCGACCTGGTGTACCTGTAGAATTGTATCAAAAATGACCATGTAAAATTTCAAGTCTCAAAGATGGCCATAACAATGTTTTTTTTGGCCAGAACTGGTCTAAAAATTGAAAAAAAAAAAAAAATGGCCGAAAATGAAAGTGACAAACCGGAAACAGTATTATTTAACAATGGTTGACAGATAAGAAAGCCCAAGAAATTTTATAATGCTTAAAGCAATCAAGTTCCATCTTAATTAATATTAGGTTTTATTGTAATATCTATACAATAATAGACATATTAACTAATATTTTATCAGATATTGCTCCATTTAAAACTAAATCATAATTTTTATTGTAAAATTGCCTCTGTTATATTTCCTGTTTTAAAAAATAAATTACGTTTGGTCTTAATTTTTTTAGATTATTTTTTTATTTTTTTTTTTTAAATTTTTTTATGACATTAAAAATTTTTTTAAAAATACTCTATTTAATTTTTTTTAGTTTTTAAAGCAACAAAGATGTTGATAATATGATGATGAACACTTCTGGAAAGTTTCATATTATTTGTCCACTCTGCTATAAAGTTATGAGCCTTTTCGTAAAAAAAATTTGAAAAGAGGTCACAAATCAGTCAAATCTCTATGAATGTAAAAAAAGTGATTTTTTATTCACAAAAAAAATCATATCTTTTTAACCGAAAGTGCTACATGAAAAATGAAAACATATTATTACTTCACATAACAAGGGCTATCATACAGATGTGTTCATTTCTTAATTTATTCAATTTGAAAATTTTATCCAACTACCTACAGACTCACTGAGTCAGTACAGAGAGCCTGGTGAAAACCTGAACAGGTGCAGGGGACAAACATGCATAGGAGCCAAAATGATCAATAAATTGATCGTGGGCCCTTAAGATATAGAAGAAGAAGAAGAAACAATTTTATAAGCACTGGCGTAGCCCAACAAAATATACATCACTAGCGCGTTGAACGTACAGTGGACTAAATATTACTGTAATACCTTGTTAGCCCTTGTTTTATTTCGACTTCACGTTAGATCTAGCAATGTCATTGATTGTCATGTATGATTAAAGATGGTGGATGTAATTGCGCACATAATGATGAATGATGACAAAGACAGCAGAAATTTACCGGTGATTTGGTAGAAAATACCACCGAGTCAATGTGCCCCGACTCCCCTATAAAGAATCAATTTAAGTTTTAAAAAATTATGAGAGTATGCCTAAACATTGTAATAATAACGATAATATTATTATCTCATTATTAGTGACATTACTCCTATAAGATAATATTACAACTATATTATATTTATAGTGAATATTTTAATTATTTTAATAATAGGCTAAAATTATTAATAGCCTAATTATTTCTCTAATAAATAATGACTACCATTTTCTTTTTTTTTTTTTTTTGGTAAAACTCATTTACTCATTCGGCTAATAATAATAAAATAAATATTTAAATATTTTAATTATTTTAATAATAGGCTAAAATTATTAATAGTCTAATTATTTCTCTAATAAATAATGACTACCATTTTCTTTTTTTTTTTTTTGTGGTAAAACTCATTTACTCATTCGGCTAATAATAATAAAATAAATATTTAGTCGCGCAATCCTACTCATCTAAATAATACCAATAGGCCTAATTGAGATCATTGTCAATATATTATTTATTAACTTACATTTATTCAATTTTTCATTCCGTTCCAGCCCCCACTAAGTAAGACAGAGCCAAGCCAGAAGGTGACACCCATGTTTCTGGTGTATTTAAGTAATTCAACAGTTAAATAATACACTAAACCACCATGTCCATGTTGCTGAACATAAATACTATGAGTAAAAGATTTTCATAATAATAATTAAACTTAAAATTTTTCACTTTTAATGTTTAACATTGATTTTTCTAAAAATTGTTATTTTTGTTCTGTTGTTTTGTAACAGATAATTCTAAAATCCCAGCTAATATACTAACTAGAGTAATACATTTGGTGTGCATCTTCCTTCAAGTATTTGGACTTTTAAAAAATATGTTTTTTTATTTTCAATAGACGATAAATTTTAAGCTTTTCTGCCAAGGCAAATTAAAATTTATTTTTAAAAGTTTGAAGGAAATTAAACTAGCGCAATACCTTTAAATATACTTGAAGTTCATGAATTAATAGTTTGCAATATTATGTAAGTTTGTTTTTTAAATGATAGAGCTCAACGAAAAGATGTTATTTTCAAGATGGCCACCATTGTCATGGCAACTATAGAGTTTTAAGGCTGTATTACAAAACGATAACCCGATAAAATAACAAAAAGAAATAAAATCATTTAGAGTAGCCGTGTCGGTTATGTGTTTGAATTCACATTTGCCATTCATGGTGGCTCGTGATTTATTTTTTACACTCACATGTAATCATTTTACTGTTTCAAAAGATGGAGTGGGTGGAGGGGGGTGGTGGGATTATTCCAACATGTAACTTTTGTTATGAAATGGTTGGGGGGGGGGGTTGGCCATAGTCCATGTCATGAAGGTCCATGCAAGATGTGCATAATATTAACAACCCAAAATATAAATTATATGTGAAAAATAAATTATTCGACATTTTTAAACAAAAATGTATTTTCCCCTTTCAACACTGTCGACGTTGATACCCGGCACATTCTTCTAAGTTTTATTCTATATTTATAGGCCTATAGTCATGAAGCATAATATTAATTCATAGTCTAAACCTCACATAGATAAATGATAATGTAGGTCTATCCGGAAATTTGTTTCAATAAAATTTCTTTGACGGAAATTCGATCGAACGGAAGTTTGCTCTAACGGAGGTTTGGTCGCATTTTTTTTTCTTCAGTTCACTCGATCTAATTTTGCGTCAAATTTCTTTTTGAACTCATTATTTTGTTTTACTATATGGTGTGCGCGTTCAAAAATGAAATTTTACGAAAATTTGATCGTGTGAACTGAAAACAAAATTCGACCAAACTTCCGTTCGATCAAACTTCCGTTGATCAATTTTCCGTCGACGAAATTTCTTTCAAAAAAAAAAAAAAAAATTCCAGTTACCGGATAATGTATGCAAACTAATTGAGTATCCGCCCCTCCACACACACAGCTGGCCACTGGAATTCCTGGGCCAGCACCACGGCCGTGGATGGGCGCTCTGGTCACTAGTGTACCCTACAATGTAGACTACATCAGCACTGATCTCTCAGAAGGTTTTTATTTTAAACACTTGCACGGTCATTGCACATCTTCTCATTTGTTCTTTCTCGACTTTAATTTTTGCGCAAAATCCAATCAAATCTAAACAAATAGCGTTCCTCACATTAACTGCTGTCAGTGTAGGGATTTTTACATTATTTTGGGGTCTTTTTTTTTTTTTTCATTTAAGCTTTATAACTAAAATTTGAATAGTCTTCAGTCTACACTTGACAGTGACCTTGAAGATTATTAAAGAAATAAATCAGAAATTTTTTTTTTTTTTTGGGTTTTTTTTTTTTTTTTTTTCATTTAAGCTTTATAACTAAAATTTGAATAGTCTTCAGTCTACACTTGACAGTGACCTTGAAGATTATGAAAGAAATAAATCAGAAAAAGGAATAATTAAACATTAGTGTCATTAGTTAGTGTAACATAATACATAGCCTACTAAAATCGAGAGTTTCAAGGCTGCCCTGACACCCGCTAGGAGCCGTTAGGATAGCCGCATCGTTTCCCAAACCGTTGCACATATACCAGATCATGGATGCAGCAACGTAGTCTAACAGAATAAGAACATAATTTGAGCGGGTTGAGCTAGAATCTTTGCTTTTTGCTTTATGAAATTAAAACGTAGGGCTCTGATCTGTCTTTCTCTAATAAATAGCTCATATCTTATACCAAATAAATAATAAACCAGTCACTTGAATAGCCTAAACAAAAAGTAGTGTACGCAGTAGTTAGTACTGAAACGGCAAACGTGATTGTTGAAGATACAGAAACAATGTAGGGGAAATTACTCTTACGTTAAAAACAAGAAGTAACTTTGATGATGAGACAAAATATGACCTTAACTTTAAGAGGAAATTTACCAGTGCACCAATATAACGAATTTTTTATGTGGTTTGAAATTGAACTAAAGAAGCTATGTTTCTCTCTAATATGTGCACTAAAGGATTCAGGGCTCCTTTTCTACTAGGCCGAATGGTTCAATGTTCAAAGTACATATTGTCGTCAACACATTCTCGGTCTGATAGTAGCAGTAGAGTCAGTAGATTGACACTGACAGTGAGTGGTAGTTAAACTTAAAATAACAGAATATACACACTATCACAGCAGACTCAAAATTGCTAAGCTAAAATTACTATTAGTAGTAGCAGGCTGAAAATTAAGTCAAGTTTATAAATTTACCACTGCTCAGCGATTTATCAGTCATGCTGCATTATTCATTACTGAATGAATACTGGGATTACTAATAATTAATAATTACTAGTAGTAGTAGTGTAGTCATCAAGTTACATGACATCTTCTCTACAGTCTGTGTATAAACCATTTAATATTTACATATTTTTTTTAAAATAACAGATGTAGCCCTAGGCTAGGTAGTAAAAAAAAAATCAAAACTTCAAAAAATTATCAAAGAAGTAAGTAGTACAATACAGTATAATACAGATAACTTTAAATTTAAAAAAAATAAAATCAACTTTCTTAGTAATCTTAGTCTTCTTAGATTTCCAATCTTTAGTAGTTTTTTAGCTATGAGTTTTTGATAAAACTACAAGTTTGTCCTTTTTTAACCATAGACTGCACCTACTCATTCTGTGACGTGACCCAATTCCGCTGTTACGTCATGTGCTATAACTCTGGTTAATGATAATTTTATGGGCCCTATATTTCCAGGATTAAGGCTATATTAAAAGTAGTAATATAAAAAAGTTTTTAAAGAAATAATATTATGCAACAATTATAAATAAATTTTAAACTATCTTGCTAGTTACTATTTTTACCATTAAATTTTATATATACGATATGACTTCTGTTTACCAAGTCAAAGGCGCCCATTATACTGGTATATTGGCTATATAAGGCAATGCATTCCCCTTAATTAAAATCTGGTTAGAGACTATTTATTTTAAACTTTCAACTTTTGCACATGACTAATTAACGAAAGCTTTCCCTTTAATATTGTTTGCACACAGCGAACTCTTATGCATGAAACTCTGAGAGTAGTAATATTGTAAAGCCATATGCAAGATGTTGTAAATGTTTGAACATGGCAAATTATGATAAATTATAAAATGGCCTCTCCTGGGTTTTTAACCTCAAATTAAAATATTCTTGTTTATAAAATATTTTGATATAAATAGTGGCAATAATTGAATGGTTCCTAAGTATCAGTGTCTTCCACAATTAAAAGGGGCGTGGTTACATCTTATAAAAAATTGTCTATGTGACCTTTGCATAATGCAGTCTACTCTGAGGAGCATGGCGAAAAAGTTTCATGACCTAGCCCAAGTGCAATAAGATTTTGCACATTAAAAAAATAAATGTTGCTTACATAGAAGTAGTATAAAAAACATAGATTTAATATTTTTACTGAATCTTTGTATAGACCGATACCTTTCATTGACCTAGGATTTTCCAAAATTAAATTCTATCGAAAGAACAAAACTCAATGGGAATGTAGGCCAAGATGTTTTCCAATGTTAAAGGGCGGAGTCATAACTTAATTATGGGTCTAAAGGACTCCTTTATTAATGAAATTACACTTACATGAACAAATTAAAAACTCAGATTTGATTGCGCAGTTGCCCATTTCCATACAAATTTTAAAGTAGTCTCCCTTGCTTTACCGAAGTCCTGAACTAGGCTTTATTTTTTAAAGATATTTTTTCCAGCAGCTCTTCAGTTATACAATGTCTTTGAATCTTACCTGTTACTGCCTACTGGTTAAACTAGAGAATTTTTTGTGTGCAGCTTAGTCTATGCTGGGGGTCCTCAAAATATAGCCAACGCCTCTCAAGCCAGACCCGGGCCGCCAAGGTCCTTAACTAAGCCCGCCTGGCTGTCATTCAGTTACCTGGGTAGCAGTGACACATATAGAACTAGACATTGAAGATCTATTAAGCCAAAAGCAGGCCCATACTTCACAATTATTTTTGCAAATAAGATAAGTGTGGTTTGCACAGGAATTTGTTAATATTTTTTTCAAACTATAGTCCAGCTCCAAATATTGTCTGTGGCACAGTGAACACTCCCTCAAGTGTCTTAGGGTCAGTCAACTGGCCCTTGATTAAAAAATGCCTGGCCCATAGATAAATAGTTCCCTCTACCTTTTTGACTTGTGGAGCCCTCTTTTAGAAACAGTTAACATAAATAAGGCCTACCCTAAAGTTTTAAGAAATATAGCACACAGCTTAGGGGAAAAATTAATAATATTAAGGAGTTTCCTGGAGTGGCCGGGAAGACCAGGAGAAGTGCTTTAATCATTGATAACAACATAATTCATAAGGCCTCTTGCTTTTGTTCTTATCTATGATGTATGTCTGCATAATGGTTAATGGTAAAAATTTGTGATAGTGATAGCTATGATTAGTTGTGAAAAATAATTTTCCAGTTGTTTATTCATTAATTATTGTGAGATAGTTAACATAAGTTATTAATACCGGGTATATACTAATTAATCTCTGTCATTGCTTTTCATATTAATAGCTGTGCATTTATATATTTTTTAATATAATGAATTATTTTTGAAAATTCTTGATACATGCATTAATTAAAATTATAACTATGACTTTCATTTAGTCATAGTAATATCACACCAAAACAAAGCAAATATTTGAGTTTTTCCTGTTAATCTTCCAGTTGCTTAAGTTACATTACAGTAGCTTTAATACGGAGATGAGGCTTAAATAGCAACAGTTTTATTTTCACTTGCATGGCTTTCATTAAAAACTTATTAGTAACCTTTATTTTCTACAAGATTGAGTTTATCCACTTTTAATTATTCTTTACCTGGTTTAAGCATACCTTAAGTGTAATTTTTAAAATATTGCTTGTTATTGTTAATTTTCAGGTCAAAAACAGAGTTGGTGGTAATTTCCACTTATTTATCAAGCGAACTTTCAAAATTGGTCCTGACGAAAAGAGACAGAAGTTCAAACCTAAACATTACTGGGACAAAGTGCCTCCCGAGTTTACCCTGATTTATGAAAGCGAACTGAAGTACTGGATACTTTGTTTAAAAGCAACAACATTATTATCAGCTGTCTTAGTTGGCGCCATTGGATTGTACTATCCAGATATCAATAGAGCTGTATCACAAGAAGATCAGTTACTGGCGGCTACCGTGTTAGGAGCATGGATGGCCTGTATTTTAGTATTTAATATGATTAGCAGGCAGTTTGTGCTCAGGATTTATCACAATAATGGACACTTTATTGCTGTACGTAGAACATACCTTGGAAGATTAAAGCAATGGAGATACACCATAGACGATGTTTCCTGCACACATAAGCCCGGCACAGAAATTCATGAGTCTGCTGTAGTGAAAATAAAAAATTCAAAGTGTCATTTGACAGCTAGAAACTTCGTGTCTCCAGTTTTTTACAACCTTCATGTTGGTGATAAATTTGCAGGCAATACTACCTATGATATGCCCAAGTTTTAGAACAAATGACATAGTGTTGGATGGCTTCAAACACACAGAGAGAAAACCGTTGCTTAATGCATCACTAATCCCATTACATTCAATGTTTGATATTATCTCTTTATGAGATCTTTTTCATAACTAGAAGTTGTGTGAAGGATACTACCTGTACCAGCCAATTCTGAGCCATGTGAAACGTTCAACCAGATGTACCCGGTAGCAGAAATTAGTAAAGTAAAAGGATGATTGTGCCGTATTTGGTTGTGTTATTGAGAAACTGAGACATTTTTCAAAGTGTCTTCCATAGGTGAGAAAACTAGCGCTGAAAATAATGTAATTACTTTGTCTTTTTTGCTGTTTCAAAATTGCAGAGCAGCTGCATAAGCAATGAGAGTCAAGTGGTCAACTTACTGCTGAAGCAGTTCATTGGGGCCACTAGTGAGATACTACATGACTCAGATGTTGAAACTGTTGAGAACTCTGCTCACCTGAATGATTGTGTCTTGGTTTATTTGTTTGAATTATAATAAAAATATAAACCCATGTTAAATGAAATGCCTTGTACTGGTATGCAGTGAGTTTTTGTTCGTTTCTTAAAAAAGCCAACCAGTTTGTTGGGCAAATAATTGCAGTTTTAATTCATTCTCCCACTACAGAAAGATTACACTATAGTTTAATCATTATCCCACTACAGAAAGATTACTGTAGTTTATCATTCTCCCACTGCAGAAAGATTACTGTAGTTTATTATTCTCCCCCTACAGAAAGATAACCATAGTTTCAATTCATTTTCCCCACTTCACAAAGATTACCTAAACTAGGGTGACCAAATGTCCCGTAAAAACGGGATTGGCCCATTTTTTCCACGATCGTACCCGTTGTTCCGAAAAAGTCTCTCGTGATCACATAAACTAAATGTCCAGTTTTTTAAACCAAACACATTTTCAAATCACTAAAACTTTCTAATTAATAATATAATATAAGTTCAAATATTTAGGCTAGCTGTGTAGCCAATGCCAGTAGTGATGAGGGCTCACGTGATGGCTGCACTGTTCCCCCTCAACAGTAAATGTATAGCGAAAGACACAAGACTTAAAGCTGCGGTGGGGAATGTAACTTTGCAGAAACCAATTTTGATTCAGCTACCGATACGTGGAATGTGTTAGTCTTGTGTGTGTGATCCCTGCTGGCCTGTTAGTGTCAGAGTGACAGGTGTTTGTTTTGGGTGTTGAACTTTATTCTTTAATTTTATATTATTTTCTCAAGTAGACAATAATTATTCCCAAGTGCCAATGCAAGTTTATGGAGTATTCCAAAGAGTGAAACTATATTAAAAATGGACGCTATGAAAGTGAAGCCGAGCACAGTTTGCAATAATGTTTATAGTATGGTCATGGGGGATGTTCAGACATAAAACAACACATCACAACAGTGAAACATATGACATAGGAAAAGACTGAGTGCCCCAAGTAGATTTCTAGGTTAGATTTCATAGTTAAAATGAGCATATTTCAAGTTTCCAGCAGAGGCCACTGGACCCCTCTTTAGCTGGAGTGTATCCTTCCCCCCCCCCCACCCAAAAAAAACCGGCCCTGAAAGTGTCCCAGAAAAGACTGAGGGCCCCAAGTAGATTTCTAGGTTAGATTTCATAGTTAAAATGAGCATATTTCAAGTTTCCAGCAGAGGCCACTGGACCCCTCTTTAGCTGGAGTGTATCATTCCCCCCCCCCCACCCAAAAAAAACCGGCCCTGAAAGTGTCCCCTTTTTCCAATTCATGATTTGGTCAACCTACCTAAACTTTAAATTTGACTCATTCCAATGCAAATTTCTTCAAGAGATATTTATTATGGTGATTTGAAATAACATTTTAAAATGAAACTGAGAACAAAAACGTTTATATCAATGCTATAACACGTATAGTCCTAAGTACGGTAGTCACTTTTGTGTGTGCACTATTCTAAAATATCATTTATTTAAAATCTAATATAGATCAGCTAATGGTTCTTAAATGTGAAGCTACTAATAATACTATCTACAAATCAAACTTTTGTAAAAAAAAAAATTATTACAAAAACAGGAAAAATTAGACTATGTATAATTGCTTAAAACTATTTTTGATTGAATAAAATTTCAGAAATGAAATTAATACCTTTACATTTCAACTTTAATAGTTTAAGCAAAAATTTATTTTAAGGAACCTTGTAATTCATTGGAAAGACTGTTGGTTAATGAGTTTGGTCTTCAATATCATGTATATTAATTAATGAATTTATTTTAATAAAAGCTAACTATCTCTATCACTCTGAGCTTCAACTTCAATAAAACTTCTGGAAAATATTGGTAACTCAATAGTTATTAATCTATGAAAAATTAACACACAGCAACATTTTATTTGTCAAAAAACAAAAAACAAACAGAAATATCACTAGTGAAATGACATTGACAAAGAAAGCAAAATGTTAACTTTCATATACAGAGAAATAGCAAAATGTTAACTTTCATCATATACCATACTGGTATCAGTATTGGTGACAGCCAATACAAACGGCGGTATCTATACCTTAAGGCACTTGAGCATTTTGATATACTAGACAATAATGGTCAGGAAGCATTTTGGTGTGGTGACACTAACATACACTTAACCTCTATAGAATACTGTTTTTACAATTAAATGGTATCAAACACACACCTTATTATGAATATTTTAATATTGATTGATCAAGTTGTAGTGATTTAGTTTAAACCTGACCTAAATAGAGATGAAAGCAGATAACTTAGATCATTGACTTTTTCTGAACAGATTTATTATTTTAGCTTAACACAAAAATCAAGCACAATTAGGTCTGTCTTTGTATTATATTTAGATTCTACAAACATGGTATGATTTATCATATATTTGCATAACACTTTAGAATTGTAAACATTGGGTAACTTCTTGTCACCTTAAAATTGAACAGTAAGTGATCAGGACAGTTTAAGCTTAGCAAAGTTGGTTGCAACTGTTAGTGCCTCCTGAAGGCCTTTGGTGTTAGTACCAGTAGCCTGAGCTGCAAGATCTTTGCCACCACCTTTCCCATTGATGATAGGCACAACTGTGTCAACCCAAATCTTGGCATTCAAGCCTGTTGGAAATGTTTCCTGGTGAAAAAAAGCCAAAACAAATGTGTTTCAATTTTACAGCACGTAGTAAAGAAAGAGTCCCAACTAGAAGACAACTGCTGCTAGATGTATATTTTATAGATCAACAACTACATTACACAATAACATATTTTAGTTTCACACTAAATTAAAGTTTTGATATAGTTTGTAATGATTAAACTAAACAGCATGCTATACCTGTAAATAATTTAAAGTTTTTAGTTGTAAGTCTAATCTGATTTAAACTTTTCTTTAATGTAGCAAGAGTTAAAAAGTATTAAACCCAGATATTGTCAATGCATTAAAAATATTGTTTTCCATTGAATGCAATGGTCATAATCATAAACCAACCTTAGGCACACAACTCATGCATAATATCTTCCCAGCATCCTGGTCAACTGAGAAAAACATGGCAGCAGTTTGTGGACTTGAGGTTTTGTACTGCTTCATTGCAGCATCTAAGGCCTAAAATTTTTATTGGAGATAAAATTATTCAAAATTTTGTAACAAAGTTTAAGCTCCATTGGAATAAAATTTTACTCTCATTCAGAAACGAATTCTCTCCATTTAAAGAATGAATGAATATCTCACATCCTTAGCAGGATAGCGTGAATCATAAATTCCAGGTGGTTCATTTCATTTATTAGTTATAGTTATACTTTCTTATTACTGAAAGAATTTTAGTTCAAACAAATGTCTAAAAATGAGAATAAGAGGCAACATCTGTTTAATGAAGTTTAAAAAATTCATTCAAACAATTTTATACAATTTTTTCCCTAGAGATTATCTTTTGTTTGTCTGGAAGATTAAAATTATGAGGGGATGGGGCCAACTAAGGACTAAATTCACCATCTTATACTAACTGATTGTTGTATGGGAACCAACAATTTTCCTACATCTGTTTTACTAAGAAAGATCACAGTACGGGTATAAAAACTTAGGAAAATTTGTGTTAAATCATATACATCTTATATGGTGCTGAAAGCTTTCAACAGTTTCAATCCATATGTCGGCTATTAACAGTATAAGTGATAGATAACATTCGAACATTTAAACAAAACTGGTAAATAACATTCCTTTTGTTGTGCGCCCATTCTCAATATTTAATTTCCTTCTGAATGATTATCCCACCTGTATTTAAATAAAAATATTTGTTTTGCATACAATTGGTATCACGTTTTGTGATTTTTTCACATTGAACAATATTAACATCATCCAAGATGCACGTGTATAACGAGGAATGTTCAAAAGTGTATGTGTAGAACTAGGGCTGTTCAAAAGTGTATGTGTTCAGTATAACTTGGACTGTTTAATTTTGAAAACTATACATTGTGGATAAACTGATGAACAGATTCAATATGTTGAACGTTGTAAATAGTTAACAAGGACCTGGTCAAAGAACAAGGACCTAGTCAAAGAAAAGTGACCGATCAATGTCATCATGTTTTGCACACTGGCAAAAGGATTTATTTGTTAGTCACATTGTTATAATAAAAGTACATTTTCAAATACAGATTTGATGCATGGTATGAAGATACATGTTTATGTATTATTAGAATTTTAACAACTTTTAGAAAGGCATCTATTGATGTAAAAACTAATTCTCACAGAGATGACTAAATCTGCAACTCAAGTCTAAATAGAGGTTATTTGAACTATGGACAATAACATTGAACAGCTTTTAAGTGAATGACTTTTCTTCAAAGTCTCATAATCGCACAAACACTGAACTAATGGTTCGTGTGGTAAAATACATGCTTTTATTCTAATACCGGTACAGAAAAACCTCACCTTAGCATTAGAGCCAGCTTTGAATTCATGGACTATAAACTTTTGATCAGGGTTTTCCTCAATTAATTTTTTACTCTGCTCCACAACCTAGATGAAATAGGAGCATAAATTAGTACAAGTCGTTGTTCCTTTGTACAGCGGAACTTCTATATTATTCAATAATCTGCTCCTAAGGCCTGACGAATATAAAATAAGAGTTTTTTCCTTAAGAAATAAATGAATTTCAATTTTCAAAGCCTCAAAAAATGGTAAATAAATTTTATAGAATTGGGACAAAACCCTTTACTAAATGAGTAGATATGATGACATGATGCTAGTATTAGAAGAAGAAGAGGAGATAAATTATTATTGTTTTGAATGAAAGTCACCATCACTGGAGAGAATACATCAGGGAACACCAAATCTATCAATGAGTTTCATTTTGTTGAGGATTCAGAGTAGCGCTTAATTTAACAAAGAATTCTTCCATTGTTGTCTGTTCCTGTTTGTTTTTTAAACCTACTTACACTAAACTTACAGTAGTATTTACGATTTGGTCAACTGTGGCAAAAAGTGGGTTCTACTTTTCTACCATATTCTGAGTTTTGGACCAAGAGACAGCATTCTCTTCATGTCCTAAGTAGTTATGGAGCCTCTACTTGAGAGAACAAAGTTTCTTTCATTGTTTCAACTTCTTGTTTCTTTGTAAAACTGATTTTTTTTTTCTGGTTCTCACACCTCTTCTTATTGTTTTTAAAGTATAAAAATTTCCAAGAGAAATTAGCAGGAGTTGACCTTAGCACAAGGCTGGTTGAGTTGACCAGCTGACTTCGAACTGACTGCAGTGCCAGTGATGACTGATGGTGGAAGTGACAAGTATGGATAACACTTATGAATATGGTAACATTTTTTTACCTGAAAATTTGATGCATATTAAATTTAACATATACAGTGGCTGACAAATATAGGAGTTCCACTGTAAAACTAAATGTCGAAGATATTTGCTAATGCAGAATTATACAATTATAGAATTACTTGAAGGTAGACTTTGGTGATTGTTTTTTTAACTTCTGAACAACTTTATTTTAATTTAAAAATGTCCAAAAAATAATGGACTTTGGTCATGTGCCTCTTTGCACACCCTAGAGAGAAGGTTAGCATAGTCCAATAAATACAAACAAACCTCATTGACTACTGCAGCTTTTCGGGCTTTGTCAATATCATCCATTTTCTTTTTCAACACTTTGAGCTCTCCTCGAAGAGAATCCCTTTTCCAATATGAGATACTTGATTGAGCTATTTCCTTTTAAAAGAGAGAAGGAAAAAAAAAAGTCATTATATGTGCTGTAACCAAGCTGCTCAAACTTTGTAGTGGTCCCAATGTGTTGGGAAATGTTTAGGTCACATTTATTGTATGAGATTAATATTTCGTTTTTTAATTTATGTTTTTTTGGAATCTATCCGTCTCCAAGATATGGTGGGGTAATTTTGGTAAAATTGTCTCTAGCAAATCTACTAAGCCTGGGCAAGGTGTTTTTTTATAGAGAATCAGTAGTTGTTTAATAACATGTCACACATTTGCCTCAACATTCAAGTTTTATGCATAACATAAAACGGATTTCCCTAAGCTTAATACCTTAATGGAAAAATAGAAAGTATTTATTTTTAACCAGTTTTTCTATTTGTGTTTGAACTGACATCATCCACACAATGATTATGAACTTTCACACTATTTCTATATTTTGCTATAGTTAATTTCTTAAACTTGGTTAAAATCAGATCTTGAAAAAATATTGTGTGAAAAACAAGAAGCTTATTCATGGCATATAAATGGAGATCAGGTTTATACAAAAGACAATTTCAATGCTCATATTTAATCCCATCTCAACTGCTAGAATCATTCAAGACATTTTCTGAAACCATGGATGTCGCCTCTTATTAGAATGGTCAGATTTTCTACCCACTTGTCGATTTTGAGTGGGTCATCTGCTTGTTGGAAGTAAAACTAGAAGCTAATCGAATATCTAAAAATAATCTATTATAAAAAAACAATACTTGAATTTAGTATAAATTTACAACACCGCCTTCAGTGCAGATGCATGATAAGTGTCAACTCCTGTTTCTACTAGATTGGTTAATTCATCAAGTTCTATCACACATTGTTATATGTTGTACTAGCACTAAATAAACTTAAGTCATTCATCACAATAAATGTAACTTTAATATCTAATTATATACACAGTCTGTTAACTAAATCAACACATGCATATAGCGCAGCTCGCTATCAGACAAAAATAAAACACAACCTCCTGTCACAAAGTTCCTTTCAAGACTGCTGACAAATAAAACGTGCATCACAAAACAGATAAGACAATACATCATAATCAGCATAAAAATATGTCACCAAGTCAAGGGCGGGAAGAGCGTTCACGGCCTAATTTATCTCTCTTACACACAATGCACGTAATCAAACATAACATTCAGTCGCAACAATTATTAATGAACTCCCATACTCAACAATAAGCAAGTAAGAGGATATTTAGATAAATTCATAAAATTGGATACAGAGAATAATAATAATAATAATAAAGTTCATTTCAAAAACATGCTTCATCCCAAAGGCTCGAAGCGTTGTACAAAGTCAACAAAAAACAAATCTATAATTTACCACATTTAAAACAAATGCAACACTACAAAAACTAATTTCAAGCATACAATGTCAAAGTCTTTCTAGCCATTTCAACCATAAGCAACACAGCCATTATGCATTAACTGGAAAATAAGGTAGACAATCATCCCAGAAGGTGTTTGCGAAATAGATGTGTCTTTAAATCGGTTTTAAAGGACTCCAGTGTCTGGTTGTTTCTGAGATCGACAGGATGGGCGTTCCAAATTGTTGGACCAGCAAATGCGAAAGTGCGCTTTCCGTAAGTCTTAAGGCAAACACATGGTGTCGAGAGTTTGCCACTATCGGATGAGTGGAGCTCTCTAGTGGTTACATAAGGCGTCAGCAGCTCTTTCAGATAGGATGGCGCCAGGTCATGTAAGCAGCGGTAGCACAAAGTTGCGATTTTGTACTCTATGCGAGCACGCACCGGCAGCCAGTGCAACTCTCTCAGAAGTGTTTTTGCATGGTCGAACTTGCGATTGCGGAGAACAATGCGAGCCGCATTATTCTGTGCTCTTCGGTTACAATAACAAATTCTCCTATACGTATAATGATACTTAATAGAAATATTAATGGTTGCCACAAAGGATTACGTTTATGATTATATTTAACCCACTTACTTCATCCAAAGTTATAATCTCTTTGTTTAGTTCTCTATCAGAAAACTGTTGTGATTTGGCATTATTATCAATCTTTGATGTAAGTTCTTTCACACTAATCTCAAATAGTCCTTGTTTGTGCACAGCCTAAAATAATAATGGATAAAATTGTTCATATTTAAAATCATTATGTGTAAAAAAAATATTATTTCTGATACAAATTAAAAATCCAATAGCATTTGAAACTTAAACAAATTAAGTACCGGTATTTCAATTTTTTTCTGATGGGATCATCTGAAATGTATTGCCAAACCCATATGTAACACATGTTATTCTATTGTAGATATTGCAATTCTTGAAGTAACATGGTTAACTATTACTTTGCTCACTGTAATGGATGGCCTGCCGCTATCACCTGAATAATTAATTCTTTCACTCCTCAAACTTATCTGTTCTAATCTCACACAATGAAGTGGCAAAGTCCAATGAATTTTTACAGTACTTTAATATAAGAAACAACCACATTAATAATAAGACTTGCCATTAGGATGTCCTGCAATAATTCTATGATGCTATAATCCCATACTATTCAATATATCATATCACAATTAAATCACAATAACTCAATAATCCATTGAGAGAAAATCAATATGTCTGCTCCCTTTCAGATAAAAATCGTGCACTCCCCACTCTACTTAAGCGTGTCTCCTATATAAAATTAGTTCCCTCTTTCTCGTGATCAGACCTGTTTACCCAGCAACTCCAAAAATAGTACAATTCCATCTCAAAATAGTACAATTCCGTCTTAAAATAGTACAATACTGTCTCAGAATAGTACAATACTGAACAAAATGGTAGCAGTAAAAAAAAGTACATACTTTAACTGAGTATACACTTTATAAATAATTTAAATAGCTTTTGTTATCGATGAAGCTTGCTATTTATCAATAAAAAGAAACAAATGTGAACAAAGTCAATAATGGTAGCAGTAAAAAAAAGTACATACTTTAACTGAGTATACACTTTATAAATAATTTAAATAGCTTTTGTTATCGATGAAGCTTGCTATTTATCAATAAAAAGAAACAAATGTGAACAAAGTCAATCAAAATTTTATGTAAATCATACAGTTTTATGTATACTGATACTGATAGAATTTTTAGATATTTACACAATTTTTTATTCATATTTCTTCAGTGAGTTGTAGTATGAGCTTTTAAGCTGCTGGAGTTCTTTTGCGCTGAATTTTTCATCCACGTCCAAGCAGCTTCCCGATTTTCCCTTAAGGACTAACAAAGCCTCTGTTGTTTCTTGTGCTAATGTTGTTCTTTGGTCTGTGCATGTTTTTCGCACCATAGAGAATATTCTCTCACAGGCAGCACTGGAGTGAGGTATGGTGAGGATCCCTTTCACTACATGGGCAAGATTCTTAAGGGATGGGTGCTTTTGGCTAATTGTTTGCCAAATCCTGTCAACTCTTACCCCATCCTCATCACAATCATCAATGTTCATCTGCTGATACCTAGCAAACTCTTCATAGATGGTGTCAACATCAGTCCCGCTGGGGATCAGAACAGGGAATCTGGTAAGGAAGTATTCCAACTGATGTTGTTTAACCTCCAATCTCCTTTTTGGATCCACTACAGAGGCATTCTGAAGTACAGGATCTGCTAGGGGAAGTTTTTTTAGTAAGTAGTCAAGCACCATCTCAAAATATTTGCGAACAGAAGCATAAAACTCTACAATCCTCTTGTCTCTGAGGCTGTACTTTTCTTTGTTTTCCAGCATGGTCTTTGCCTGGGATCCAATAAGCAGGTCAGCATCATCTTTCTGACTGCTTCTTAGCTTGTATTGGACCTGAAAGAGAAAAAAAAAAAAGATAATAAAATAGTACTGTAGGTATCATGATAAACCATGTAAATGATAATTTATAACAAATGAAATGTATTCAATTTGTCAAACTACAACATAAATGCATACATTTACATAATCAAAGCTCACCTTGTCAATGTCAATACCATTAACTGCTGTGGGCAAGAGAAATCTGCTGTACAAGTCACCAATCAGGCTGTAGAGGTTCTCCTTTAGCGTATGGATCATTGGTTTTTCTGCCTGTAGTTGGACAAGTACCTATAAAAATAACCATGTGTCATAAAAATGAACAATTAGTACTACCGGTATTAAGTACAACGGTATAGTAAATTATACAAAATTACTATGGTCCATTAAAGAAAACTTTGCACTAAAGAAAATGAATTGTAAGAAAATATTGCGGATCTAATGAAATGAGAGCAAAATTATGCACCCTTCAAGACTCATGAAATGCAAGAATTCATCTCACCTGATCATACACTTTCAGTGTGTAAGACAAGAAATGGCAGAAAAGTCTATTTGTTGGTGACCGCAAAAATTCATAAATGGCATCAACTTTCTTCACAGAGTAAGTTGTGCAATGTCCTTCCAACTCAGCAGTCGTCTGAACATCATTTGGTTTCTTATTTGGTTTGGAATTTTTATATTTTTCTTCATGAAAGAAGTGCATCAAGGGGTCCCAATTTTCAATCAATCTTTTCAAGCATCGTGCAATACTAAGCCATCTGGTGCAGACATGTTTAATAATTTTCATCTGTTCTGCATCATACAGGACTTGCAGATTCTTCAATTCACTTTGTCTCTTCACACTTTTCTTGAAGAAGTAAAAAATGTCAACCAGCACCTCCTCAACTGGGGGTAGACAGGATGCCCCCTTTTTAGCTGCAAGATGCACCAGATGGAGGCAGCATCTTGCCAGATAAATGCTGTCTTGCTCTCTTTTAATGAAACTGTATACTCCATTGTATTGGCCAGTCATCACATTGGCATTGTCACAGCCAAATGCAATGCAGTTTACCCATGAAATGCCCTGTGAATGCAATTCATCCGCCATGGTCTTAAATATATTCTGTCCTGTGGCCGAGGACTCTTTGCACACCGGCAAAGCTAGGAGATGAGAATTTACAAGGCCATCCTCTCCCTCAATGGTGACAACTAGAGGGAACTGCTTTTTGTCTGAGTCGTTACTACCATCAGTGGCAATACTGAATGGCAATCTCTGCATTCTAATGGCTAATTTATTCATAGTCATTGCAGACATTTCTAAAATCATAGCTGTTGCTTTATTTCTCCCACATTTTATATCTGAAATTAATAAATGAAAATAATAAATATATTGATGACAATATCTGGTACAATAAAATAATTATCCCAATGGCACAAATCATCTTTAAAACTGTACTAATAAATTTTCTCTTTTTCATTTTATAAACCATTATTAGGTAGACTTTTGTAAAGTATCGGCTTAATTTTAAACAAATAAAAAATGTGTTTACTTTTTATATTAGCCTACATATATTTTTTTTATTTTAAACACTATAACTTTATATATATATATATATATATGGCACTAAGCTATAGTGTGAAAAGCTGTTAAATAAAAGACCATCTATTCATTCATAATAAGATTCAAGCTGGCTCACATGGTCCATAAATAGTTTAAATAATAATAATTACATTAATAGTTAAAGAAAAAGGCCGACTTACTTGCTGCAATTTTGGAATCTGGGAACATTTTAACAAATGCCTTAGAAAGAGTATCAGCCGCAGAAAGCGAAAGATTGAGTTCTGGAATTAAGCTACACATCAGAGCTTCTGCGCGAGTTACTTGATCTTGGAAATGAGATTTTGAATTTAATCTTTGACAAAAAGATGTCAAGGTTGTACTTTGACTCAGTGCTTCTTTAGAGGACTTATGGGCTTTGGTTTCATAATGTTTTTTGCAATCGTTTTGGCCGCCATGTGCTACTGAAAAGTCCGACTTGCAGATTGTGCAGTGCGCGTATGATGGACCCTTCGATGAAGAACGCAACTCAGTAAATTTTGTCTGATATTCACGCAAGAATATTTGCTGATAAACTTTCTTTTTCTTTGGTTGAATCTGATGTGCATCGGTAGAAGTTTCTTCTTCATCATCGGTTTCGTGTAACTTTCTTTTTGTCGAGGACATGTCGTAATATAGGCCTACTAACTAGTACACTAAACTACGGTACTGTACCGAGGTTGAATCTGATGTGCATCGGTAGAAGTTTCTTCTTCATCATCGGTTTCGTGTAACTTTCTTTTTGTCGAGGACATGTCGTAATATAGGCCTACTAACTAGTACACTAAACTACGGTACTGTACCGGAAACAAAAAGGAGCGCCAATTCCATTAATAGAAACATTAAAACCACGCAATTTTCACGTCCGTCAATGCAGCCAGATTCAAACGCCAGGGCTGTTGGACAATGGGACATCCATATATAATATATAACATACACAGTGCTCAGTACGCAAAATAACAACACACTGTAGTCCACCAAGACGTCCTTCCGTGCTGGTGACGTAGTTATTTCGCTCGGTAGAAACAACCTTTCCCCACCCTCATTAATGGGTAAAAAAAAAAATTGTACTATCCCATATCCAACAGGCGCTTGATTTTTCAAGTTAACATAGCCTGCCTAATAACTACCGCAAGCTGTAAAAAAAAAAGGGTAGGGGCGGGTAGGAGTAGTGATACCAAACAGACTGTTGCATTAAAATCACTTAGGGGATAGAGCTGCTTTGAGTTCTAAAAATATTTATTAAATACCACTAGATCTTATAAAATATGTCCAACGTTCGCCCTGTGCGAAGCACCCGTTCGATGCCCCCCTTCCCCGTATGGCTCCGATCTTTTTCCGATTAGGTCGTAGGCTATGGAGCACGTGTTATGATGCTATACATAGACCGTTTCTCGACCCCGGAACCAAGGTTCAAACTTCACTATAATGAGCTAAGTGAATTTCAATAATTTCTGGGTGCCCTAGGCGTCCCTCTTGGGTCACGGCGCCCTGTGCCAGGGCACAGGTCGAACACCTTAAGGTCGGCGTTGCTCTCTAGTTTCCTCCGTTTTTACAATCGCCGCGGTTTAGACGATTATGTAACAAAACTACATCAAACGCTTAGTAGCATGGTGAGTGAAGCTGTCGCTAGGCGACTAGTCTAATTATTACTGTTGACACAGCTAGCTAGTTCACTGAGACACAAAGCAACACTATGAGAATCATCACCCTCAATACGATACATTGCGGTGCTATTTTTATAGCCTTTGACATTCCCACCAACACCCCCCCCCCTTTTTTTCACCATGCCAGACCTGTTTACCCCCAAACTCCTAAAATCGTACAATATGGTCTCAAAATCGTACAATGCAGTATTTTGATATTAAATAAATAAAAATACAGTATATATAATGTATACAATAACTACTCCTATAGCGTGTTCAGTGGAATCGAGCTGAGCTGGCGTCAAAATATGGAACTGTAGGTAAACAGTAGATGACTGACGTTAACGGCAAACTGCGGTCACTTTGTTTAGCAGACGTGTATCGGCTAATACAATCATTCACTGCCTGATCTTTATTAAAAAGGGCTAAAACTTCCACAAAAAAAGAAAAAATAATAATTTTTTAATCGGAAAAAATTACCCCAATAATTTTTTTACCGGGTCTCTGAAAATCGTAGTTTTTGCGGGTCTCGGCGTACAATCGTAAAAGACATCTAAAAATCGTACATTGTACGCCAAAATCGTAAGAGTAAACAGGTCTGCGTGATTCACTAAGTTATGATACAATTACTCCGCCATCCTGTGGTAGAGATGTGGTAGAGATGAATATTAGTGTCGTGTGTAAAATCACAGCCAAATTTGGTCTGTTACACCACACAAGATAAAATTGAATCACAATCGCTGTATCAAAACATAGAATGAAGAAAATGAATTAGTTTTGTCACAGTTATTTTTACCTTGTGAGCTTCAGAGCCTGTCAATGCAATAATTCTTCTAACTCCTTTTGATATGGCCTCTTCAGTTACAATAACAAATTCTCCTATATGACCAGATCTTTTCAAATGCCTGAGGAAAAAAAAAGCTTAATAACTGTTTTGGAGATCCCTTATCAATCACGGTGCTGTCCAGACGGTGAGCTGATTTTAAATGGCCGCAACAACTTGAGATATTTTTATGTGTGTAAAAAATCAAACCTTTTAGAGTGAAAATATTATCAAACCACATTCATTGATTTACTTTTGTTGGGAAATCCTGTGAGAGCACAAGAGAAGATATAACATGGGGAAAGCGGCAGGTCACAAAAGCTAAGGAGTGGGATCGATTGACAGGTAGCAGTAATTAATGTTAAGCACTTCAGCAGAGCAACCATTTGGGAATGTGGGTGACATAAAATCAGATGCTCTCTTCTCCTTCTTTCTGTTGCTTGTACAGGGGAGGTGTTATGGGGCATCGGGTATAATTACTAACAGCATTGAGAAGATGAATAGGGACACCAAAAGTAACTTGGTGTGTAGCTATTTGGTCATTGTAAAAATGTCAATGCCCCCACCATGGAAGCAATTTAGATGAAATAGACAGGTGAGCAATTATTGGGATGATAATATGACAGGAAAGTCTTCAGGTCAGATAAATCGAGAGGGGGGTTGAAATACTAAAGGTGTCACAAATGAATGAATATGGTTGGCAGTGTGAATTGTTAATGGTTCCATGTTATTAAAACAGGTGGTCCAGCCAGATATGGGAGTGTGTGTGTCCATCCTATATTGTTGTGACTTTGGGGAAAAGTACCTGATATTCTGAGATCTGAGTATGAGATGTTCAATGAGTAGAAAGCAGGATACAAGCTGTGTTTGTTTGTAGTCAAGTGTTATTCAATCAGGGAGGATTTGTGAGAAACAGTAGGAGTGATTCTATTAAGTTTTTAAAAAAAAATTTTTATAAACAAACATAAGAATGTGTGGACAAATGAATTCTGGATGTGTTTCTTCTCATGAATTTTCACAAATATGGAAATTTTGTTTTTGGAAGCACCCTACGTCAGTAGGCTGAATTCTCTGTGATGATCAACATGAAGTTCAAAATAGCCAACACTTTGACTGGTGAACATTTAGAAAACCTAATAAGGGCAGGTGCTATTGATAACTACCTCAAATTAATAAAATTGGAAGTACAATTCATGACAAAATAAATCATAAAAAAGGACTAAAGTTTTTTTTACAATTTTCTAAAAAGTACCGCAAAAAATATTTCTTTTTCATGTGTGGCCCTCGGCTTCTCTGAAATTATTGTTTTGGTCCACGTAGTCAAAAAGGTTGGACAGAACTGCCTTATCACAACTAACTAACTTGTATTAAAAATACTTATAAGTTTTCTCTTGTTGCAAAGTCCTGACACATTAAAAGTTTGGGAACCACTGTAATATATATTAATGCATAACTTACGTGCCACCACAAAACTCCACTGTTGTAACTGAACCACCTGGACCATTGGGATCAGATTCTAAGTCATCAACAGAGATACCCACGGATACAACTCTGACCGGATCTGGATAAACCTGTTAGAAATAAATTCCTTATTGTGAGTGTCATATACTTTTACCTCTATGAATGAGCCATAAACAAAATTTTTCTAAAATATCATTTCAGTTTCACATCAAGTAAGAATGAAAAAAAAAGGAGTTTTAAATTTTTTTTGGTACATATTTTAAAACTACATTTGCTGACCTCAATAAAAATTTTTTTATTTTTAGCACATAAATCTTTGTGTAAAAATAATATTTCAATGTATTTTTTCTTGGATCAGAGCAATACCTCATCAAAAACAGCACGTAAGCCCTGGATAGTTTTTGCTGTTGCTAGTGGCGTCTCTTTAGCATAAACCTGTTCATTTTTGGCTACCATGTTTACGACTATTTCCTCGGCCGCCTTGACTTCTTGCACTGACATGGCTGCCTAAATAGGTCAAACATAAGTATTTCATTCTTAATGCTGATGCTATTCCCATAAAAAAAAATGATGTCAATTATAATAACTTAACTTAAAGTGAATTTACATTTTTGAAATATTAAATTAAAGGACTATTTAAGCCAAAAGAGACATCACCAATAAGTTAATAAATAACCATTCAATATTTGTTGCCATACAAAAGAGGGTTAAGTTTAAAATTATTAACAGTTAAAAAAACTTTAGTTTATAGTTATAAATATCGGCAATAATGTTGTTATGGTAAACTGTGAAAATAGCATTTCATCTATTTTATTTAATTAATAAGCATCACTACTTTGGCAGAGAAGTCAAATCTGAGCTTATCTGGTGCCACTAAGGACCCTTTCTGATCAGTCTCCTTCAATACATCTCTGAGAGCAAAGTTGAGGATGTGAGTGGCAGTGTGGTTCTTCATTATGGCACATCTTCTGGGCTATAAAAAATAATTATGCACTAAGGAAGGTCCCTTTAAATGAATTAACATGTCAATGATAAATTAGAAGAAAAAAAAAACAATAACATAATCACTGCTTCAAAACTAAAACGAGTGTATCCAGATAAACCACATATAAACAAAAATAAATTAATATTGAATGAAAAATACATTGTACGTTTTTGATCTTGATTTTAAATAATAGACAGCATCTAAATTTTGTCTTCTGTGGAGAGGCTAAGGTAAAAGACTAAAGTACCGGTTAATCAGATGAAAATGAAACTGACCTCGTCAATCAAGAGGCGGACAGTGTCTCCAACCTTGAACACACCTTCAACAATGCCAATATGCAGAACATAACCTCCCCGCACCTGCACATTCCTAACTCTGAACTCATCCTGTAGATCAAAGAGAAGAACTGTTATCTTAGATACTTTTTAAAAATAAATTGATAGAATCTATCCCAAAATGCAACTGAATGGTACTTAAATATTTTTTCATAAATTCATTCAATGTATAATCTGAAGGCACACAAGATTCTAGTTGGATAATTATTGCAATGAGTTCAGTCTATTTGTGCTGTACCTCAACCATCATGAAAATGTTCCTTTTCTTATGCAGAGTCCATGCAGAGATTGTTAAACATTTTAAAAAACAACAACTTTGGTACAATAATTTATAAAAAAATAGAGAGACTCTGATGAACATATGTAAAGGTGATCAAATAAGACCATAAATTGAGGTGTGCAACAAACACACATAATAATATGTTGTTATAAACAGGCTTCAGTGTGAGCTGGGGGAAATTGTAAGCATCAGTGATTTGAAGTATGATAAAGGGGAGTAACATCTGACTTTATGAACCAGTTTTTAACAGATATGTCAAAATTATGACAGTGGAGGCAAATGTCACAAGAAAACAGAGAGGTAGCGTGAGTGAACAGTGAATTGTGTTGACCAGGTTTTTCCACGGGGAGAGACAATCAATGGATTGTATTTTTGAGAACAAATGTGAGCTCCACGTTTTTGGAGAGTAAAATTATGTTTTTGTCAGAGCGGTTGTTTTCCACACTTTGCTGGTAATAAAAGTATGAGTTGACTGAGATAGTCAGAGCTGAGCGCAGAGCAGTAGAGAACAGTAGAGCTAGGAGAGCTGTGTGATTAGACAGTTGAGCTGAGTTATAGTAGTGTGAGGACGTGTCTTTCTGAATGGTGGAATACTATAATATATACATGTAAAAATTATTTACATTCATGCAAGGATTACTATTATTATCAGTGTCAAGTGTGATTCAATAAAGTACTGTAAGTTTTAACCAGAATTGAGCATTCTTCTTTGCGTGCCTGCATAACAAGTGGAAGAATGAATAAGTCTTAGTCGGCATCCTGAAGTATTAACATAAGTAACCATACTACTGACATAACCCACAGCATAAGAAATAAGATCCCACGCCATGTCAGAGTAGATGTGTTACAATTACCTATGTCATAGCATTACTTGTAAAAAAAAAGCATTACTTAGAGTACACTTGACATAAACAAAGCTGAAAACCTTGACATGTTTTCAATGAAAAATATTTCCATCCTACGGGGTTAATTTTGCTTGAGGTAAAACTTTTCAGATCTTTCGTCAAAAAAAAAAAAAACCCTATAAAACATGTAATGTTAAAAATCTAATGTCTAAACTTGAATTTTCAAAGGCCTTACCTCACCACCTTCTTTAACAATAAATCCTTCATCATAAATCTGTCCACCTTGTTCAGCATAGAAGTTGGTTCTGTCAAGCAGAATGCCACTTTCTTGGCCAGAAGACACAGAATCCACAAACTGTTTGTTATATCTCAAGCCTATTATTTTGGCAGTTACTGGCTCAAATGCTGCAATCAATGGAAATCCATGTTATGAAACAACCATTTTTAAATATTAACATATCTCATTATAAGCTATGTAATTATTTATTCAATAATAAGTATTGGTAGAGAATAAAACACACATCAAATTCATTTTAATAACAAACATTTCAGTTTTGTTGAAGGCAAAGTAAAATATAATTTAAGGTTTGGGGATTAATCAACAGTATGATGTTATTGTTAAGGTCATTTTTTTAGTTAACTTTTAATACTATACTCTGCGTTTTATAAATGCTATAAATAATATTTTGTTATCACTTGTACAGCATGCAGTGCATTGTAATAAAAATTACCTCTAAAAATGTTTACTGTTAAATTATCCCACGAAGATATAATATAACCCCAAGAAGAAGATAGTACAAGTTAACCCTTACAGTAGTTTCCATTCTGATCTGCCTGATATGAATACTTGTGGGCATCGTCTGTGGGTGGTACACCTTTATCCTTGAGGTCAGTCAGTGCATGCACGTCCAAGGAAATCAAGTCTTCCTTTACTCCACTGATGCTTTGGGAAAGTTGCTGATCAGACAAGAAACACTGATTTCTATTTCTTCAAGGAATTTTTGAATGTTCCTTAAAGGCTCTAATATTTTTAACATTTTTATGGATGTTCATTTGAAGGTTCATATATTTTTTAAAAATTGTGGAAATTTATTTAAATGGTATGATATTTTTAAATAATTGATATGAGGATTTTAAAAAAATATCGATTTCTAATGATGTAAACATTATCTAATAACAAGGCTAATTTTTAAAACATTTACAAGGAAATGGTTTTCCCCTCCTTCCAAACTTACTGGTGGTATTTTTAATGCCTAGATGAATTGAAACCTATGTATTAAATGTGCCAAACTCTAAATGAAATTTAACAAATTTAAAGACATTACTAAGGAATGTGCTTTGGCCTCTTCAAATGCTGGCATGTCTATGTTCATGCCTTTTTCTTCTACCATCAGCAAAGTCAGATCCACAGGGAAGCCATACGTGTCATAAAGTCTCCAAGCAATGTCACCTATAAAAATCAATATTTACAATATGACTTAACATCACAAATAATAAATAAAGTCTACAATATGACTTTACTTTAAATAAAGTCTAACACAAGTGATAAAGTTCAACTATTAAAAATGTATGTATGAGGTACAATTCAATATTCAATCAAATGTGTGTTTCATGCCTTGTCAGTACTTTTATAAAATACAGGATATAATATGAATGAGAAAACATTTTTTATTTCAAGGTAATGGTTCCTCCACTTAAAGTTGATGAATTAAAATTATAATTAGGGAAAGAAAGTCTAGATTAACATAATATAAAACATTAGTGGCAAATACAAATTTCATTGTGAGCAGACTTCTTTTAAATCATTCTTTCAATGGTAAACTTGTAATTTTTAACTACCTGGCAGAGTTTTGACATCACCCATTTTGTTGATGCTTCTCTCCAGCAATCGACGACCTCTTGACAATGTCTTGAGAAATTGAGCCTCCTCTTCATTTATGATTTCCTTAATCTAGATGATTTAAATGGAAAATATAAGATTTAAAGCTGAAAGAAGAAAAGTTAAATAATTTTTTTTTCCCCATCATTTATATGAAAAAAAAATGAAATGAAAAATATTTGTAAACAAAATAAAGAGCACATTTTTAAAGAAAATGTTCTTACTGTTTCAGGATCTTTTTTTACTTCAGGAAATGCATCACCCTGAGAAATACAAAAATAATAAAAATAACTTAATAACAATTATGGTAAAAAGCATGTTGATTGTTCCAGATTTATTTAATGTAATTAAACATTTTTGCACTCCATTAGCACATAACAAAACTTTTGTCCCCTGTAAAATATAAATAAAAAATATGATTAATTATTTTGTTTAATACCTTAACAAATTTTCTACAAATCCGGTCATGAAATTATCTATGGCAAAAGAAGACAGCCAGTGCCTTGTTAAGAACTGATATACAACCACACAAAAAAAAACAAGATCCTTACCAATAGCTGTACAACAGTGTCAACAAGTGAAGCAAACATTCCAGGTTTAGCATTCAATTTTTCAGTGGCATATCTCACAGCACGTCTCAAAATTCTTCTCAAAACATAGCTGAAAAGAGTTTTTTTTTAAATCTCTATATAACTACTTAATAAAAAAAAGATGCATCTCATATAGTCTGAAAAAAGGCCAAGAATAGATATGACCATTGCACATTGAGTGGCTTGAATTGAGGCAAAATGAAAACTAAAAATCCTACCCTCTTCCTGTATTATCGGGACGTCCCCCATCAGCTAGGGTTACAGTAATAGTTCTAGCATGATCCCCCAGAACTCTGTAAGCCATATCCACCCCATCTGTGTCTGCAGCACCGACACGTCCCTGATACTCCGGGCAACCAGTGGCCTTTGGGTTAAATAATTGTGTTTAAACTTCACATAAGACAGAAGAAATAATGTAAGCAGACGATAGGGTAATTCATATAGATTAACACAAAATTATTCCCCTTTGTGACAAGCTCATTAAGTTAAAAATCTATATTTCAACGGCAACAAAATTATTTTAAAATAACACAAAACAAAATATTAATTGATTCATATTTTAATATACCTTCAGGGGGAATAAGTCGTAACATACCTTCTGAATGGCTTGGAATAGAGGTTGGAAGAGGTCAGTGTCATAATTAGATCTTTTGTTTTGGACAACAGAAACCATACGCTCAAAGCCCATGCCACAGTCGATATGTTTTCTGGGTAAGGACTTCAGAGAGCCATCAGTTTCCCTGTGCCAAAAATTTTCAATCTTAAGAACAATGCATTAAAGATATTCCTGGAGCCAAATTTGTACACACAAATAAGACAACTAAACCTGGGCTCTGACAAACTAATTTAAGGATTTTTGTTCTTTTTTAGTCTAGCAATCTTTATTTGATTTACTATAACTAAAACGAGATAACAAATATAGCTCAACTGTGTCTGTCATGGAATCCACAGGATGGCAGAGAGAAAAAAGAACTTGTAATGTGTAAAAAGGAACTCGAAAGAGAATGAGAGAAACAGTGAGTAGTGAAATCAGCATGAAAACAATAGCTCAGAACTGGGGTAAATGGAAAGAATAATTTTTGAATGGCCTATGCCCCACTGAGAGCAAATAAGTCAAAGAAGGACTTAATGACAATATTCACTTTGATGATAGATATAATTAATTTTATCATGTCCTGTTCTCATTATATTATAAATCCCACCAGCTTTTCTCAAGATCAGACCTGAGAGTTCACAAAGAAATTATCATAAACTGTAATGCTAACATGAACAGTTTTGCTTTCAATAATATTTTCCTTGCTAACCTGTTGTACTGAATGAATACAAGATTCCAGATCTCCAAAACATCAGGATCATCTTTGTTGACCTGGTCCTTGGCATTTCGGCCACCAATACGATCAAAATGGATTTCCGAGCAAGGGCCACATGGTCCTGTCTCACCCATCTCCCAGAAGTTATCTTTCATTCCAAATGGCAACACCCTTTCTGGTTCCATTCTTTGTAAAAGAAAAATAATTAAAAATGGAAATTATTACAATCGAAGTGTCTAAAAATAAAATCTAACATGATTAATTCTAAAAATATATTCTAAAATAATTAATGCTAAACAAAATTCTAATATAACAAATTATACAGAATCTTAATCCTTAAAGCAAGCTCTAATAAGAAAGAACTCTAAATTTTGTATAAAAGGTGATTTTTTCCACTTTAATATTTATGGCCCACGATTGCATTATTTTCAGAAGCAATGTAATTACCCTAGACTGATCCAAATGTCACGCGCCTCATTATCTGGTTCTAGCCCCATTTCAGTGTTTCCACCGAAATAAGTCACATAGAGGCGGTTTTTGTCCAGTTTCAGTCTGCCAACCAAATACTCATAGGCCCAGGTACAAACCTCTTTCTGTGTGAATAACAAAGAAAGCTTACTGAAATAACTTTTTTTATTAATGATTCATGAGCCGAGTACTTTTTTCATATATGATTAAAAATTAGCATTCCTTAAGCTAATTTTATTTGAGTGAGGAGCCATTTATAATTTATATCAGCTAAGGAAATATTTAGGGAGCCTCAGGCAGCTGACTTTGCATGACCCCAGGAATAATATTTTAATACTAATACTTGAAATTTAGAAACTACATTAAAGCAAATAATACAATTAATTTTTTTGATTCAGTATTTTTATAGTGAAAAATATTATGTTTAATAATGAAAAGAATTCCATTAATTCATTCAAAGAGCTGCATACATCACTAGATCAGGAGGTTTTTTATTTTTAAAATTAATTTATAATACGAACTTAAAAAAATTATCTACTAAATTGCAACAATAATACAATTAAAAAAATTACCTTATAATAGTCTCCAAAAGACCAGTTACCCAACATCTCAAAAAATGTATGATGGTATACATCTTTCCCCACATCGTCCAAGTCATTATGTTTCCCGCCGGCACGGACACATTTTTGAGAATTCACAACCCTAATGTATTTTGCCATATCACTATTGGGATCTGCTATACCCAGGAAAATGGGCTTAAACTGGAAGAAAAAATAAAATAAAATTGAAGTTGTTCTAAATATTATTTTATTTATATGTACAAAAAAATATAAGCAGTTTATATTTTTATACCTTAATACATATATTAAACATATGCATTTAACATATGAATTACTGTCAAAAACAGTTAAAGCAAAGGACATGAAAAAGAATATCATCAAAATGTGCATCTATATAAGCACAAACAAACAAAAAGTGCAGACAGAAAATTACTCTTATTATTCCTCCTTTCCTTTCACTTTAGATAATTTCCATACCTGATTCATACCAGCATTTGCAAATAAAAGTGTTGGATCTTCCAGGGGGATTGTTGAAGATGAGTGGACATATGTATGTTCCTTTTCCTTGAAAAAGTTAATAAAGCTGTCTCTAACTTGATCTGCGTTCATCATTCTCCTTTTTTAGTAGTTATAACCTGAGGATTTATTATATACTTGAAACTTGTCTGCTTTTTATGTATTTGCTTTAACAATATATTTGAAATATAAACAAGATTTAAAATACATTTTTATTTGAAAGATACTTCCTTGCTTAACACTTATAAGACACAGTTAAAGTGTATGCAATGTTAATTTTTACAGTTTTAAGAAACTTTATATGAAACAAAACAAACATGGCTGCATAGGAGCCAAAATGATCAATAAATTGATCGTGGGCCCTTAAGATATAGAAGAAGAAGAAGAAGAAGAAACAAAAAGTATGATAGCACCCAAAAGAAATAACCCAATGGATATACTCCTCATGGGATCAAACCCATCCCTAATTTTATTTTTCTGAAAGTGAAACATTTCCAGAACTATTTTAATTCGTAACACATCCTTTTCACCAAAATTTTAAAATTAAATAATTTTTTTTTCAAGTTAGGTCTGTTTTCATTTTTGTTTGTTCTGTTCTTATTTTTTAAATCTTATTTATCTCTTATTTGCAGTATGCCTGTCAAACATGAAGTTTGCTAAAAGCTAAGGATCAAATTGTTAAACTTTGACAGTGTGTGAGATGTACATGTGGAAATTTTCCATATACAGTACCAATTATTACTTTGAGTTGTTTTGATAGTCTTAAACATAAAATCGTTTGCTTTTAACCCCTTCACTACTGCAGGATTTTGGCATCGATTTTTTTCTGACTCATCAATAAAAAACTTAGCAAATGGAATTTTCGGTATATTTATTCTCTATGAACTCTATCCGATTCGCTTTTTAACTTCTCTATAGATTAACGAATAAGGAAATATATGGCATTGAAATTTGACGTCGACGTGAAGTCCTTGGTATTTCAGAAAAGTTCTTAATTTTTTGTTATGACGACAATGTGACGTCCTTGGTAATTGAAAGTGGGTGACTGTGAGATCGCGTCGACGTCATCGGTAGCAAAGTGGTTAAAGAAACACTTAGGCCTATTTTAAAAATCGCAAACAAATATCAGACCTACATGATTCATGATAGGCTTATATAACCTAATTATCAAATATAGACTATTACATTAAAATTAACATAATAATTGTTATACAGCAGACCTGTTTACCCTCAAACTCTTAAAATCGTACAATATCATCAAAAAATCAATCAATACATTATCTTAATAGTAAAATAAACATCAGTGTATATAATGTATACACCTCAAAATCGTACATTGTACGCCAAAATCCTACGAGTAAACAGGTCTGTATACAGTAAGCCTATGCAGTACAGCAAATAATAGGTCCTATATAAAATAAATTGCACACTATTTTAAGTTGTTATCCTCATGAATCATACACATTTAAATTTTAGCCCTAGTAGCCTAGTATGGCCCTAATATTTTATTCAAAATAATTTCAACCATGTTTATGTTGGTTCAAGTATTGTATTACCAGTGGTATATTAAATGTTATTATTAATTATTGATCACAAAACCAGGCAGCGGTGCCTATGAATATTTAGTTAATTTAGCCCTGGCTTAGAATCTAACTATAGTCCCAGATATGCTGAAACTGAACACTGAAAATGATGAGACATGAGCGAGTTTGACATAGTATAGCATATGGCTATGGCATCATATGCTGGTGTCTCCACACATTTTTTTAAATTTTCAAACAAAAATAAGCCTTTCATCAGAAGTCATTTAATCTTTCCTAGATCTGACAAAAACAGCACTGAGCAGAAATTCAGAAATGCATCTAACTAAACTTGAATTTTGAAAGGGTGCCTGAATAAAGTGTCCCGAATCTATAATTTATAGATAGTCTATATAATCTATATATACTATATTATATACTTATAAAACATAACAAACCAGGTGGCTGCTAATATAATATATAGGCACAAACGGAATACCGGCACAAACTCCACTAACTCAGAATCAATAGAATAGGCCTCTAGACTCTAGAAAAAATGTGTCTGGACTCTAGACTAGAGTCTAGTTCTAGACCTTACTTTTGCTTAGCGGCCTTCTACTTCTATGTTTATATAATAAATAGCAATACATTAATTCCCTTACTTTATGCACTTCTATTTCCTAGTACCAGAAACTAGAATGTACCAGTTAGTTTTTAAAAAATTGGGCTCCCAAAAATTGCAATCGGTCGTAATACCAACAATAGCAATATATTTCGTCTGCTATGCAATAGGCCTATGCCAATGCCTATTATTACAACTACAATGCAAAAATAAACTTGTATTTTGTGTCTTAAATCTTGCCAGGTGTAAAAAAAAAAAAAGTGTGATGATGCAAGAGAGTGTAAATGGGATTTGCAAAGTGCGAATGACAACTAAACTATTTCTGCTTCATTTGCTTGAATATACAAACTAATTTTGGTCTAATTTATTGTAGTTTTATTTTGCAAAAATTAAATATTACTCTATATGTAATGAATCACTCACAGCTTGGAAGTACGCTCAATGTGCGCCTGTGTGCGGACTCTTACGGTGTACATGAGAAAAAGGTATCCGTTTCAATTTAACGTTACTTTTCTGCCAGCACCAAAATGAAATACTGAACAACAAATATCTTTTTAATTTTAATATTTTAAGTAGATTTATGTTTAATTTTTACTGAAAACAAACAGATAATTCAATTCTATTATAAAATATTTAAATAATGCTACCAATTTATTTTAAAACGGTTTACTAGTCTAGTCTACTTAATCCACAATGACCAAATGTCAATTGTGTAAAAAAAAATTAAAAATTGCACATCACTTTTCAGTCATTTAATAGTATTTCTGCTCCAAACCAAATGGGTTTCATTGAAATTGAATGCAGATTGTACTAAATATAAATACTTTAGTAGGCCTAGCATATATAGTATACAAAAAAACTTATCAAGGAATACAATATTTTAGGTTTGAAATAATATTTAATTTTAAATATTTAAAAATAATAATATTTCAATTCAAGTACACTTTACCATCAAAACTTCAGATTTAGTTTCTAAGTTAGTACACAAAACCTCAGCCTTCACACTCAGATCTGTTCTCTTGTACTAAGTCTAAGCCATCCCAAACCGAATTGTTTATAAAGCAAATTTTTCTCTTTAGACTTGACGAATATTTCCTCAACCTCAAAACTCTATCCAACATTATTAAGAGACATACTATGCTAGTATACCAGTAAAGTGAATCATTTCGACAACTATTGGGTTTATTCTATGGCTTAAATTTAATTACTAATATTTATCTTTCATCTTAACTCCCTAAATTGGGTTACCTTTGATTTTATGAACTTGTTTGAATGTGTGTTGGTTGGGGGTTCATTCAAAGTTGTGACCAATATTTTTCTATAAAAGACACAAAGTTAACTTCTTACATATATATTCCTGTTTGGGTGGAGGAAGGTAATTTTGAGATTCCTCCACTACAAATCTGTTGCAACATCTGATTTCAATTGACCCTAAACAATTTGTACCTTCCTGCAGTTTTATGTCATTCACTATATTTATGATCAATTCTCCTATCCTACTTTTTAAAATCATTCACATCATGAAGAGTGAAAGCTTAATAATCACTGAAAAGAAAGGATTAGCTGGTGCTTTTTTCCCTCACTAATTGTGCTCAAACAGGGTTCAGCATCAGCAATTATTTTTGGTGCAATTTGAACTTAGTTACAGGTGTATAAATATATATATTTGTTTAATTAAACAAAAGCATTTTTTTCCTGGATCATTTAAAAAAAAAAAAAAAAGCACTGGCTAACAAAACGTGCAAAGTTCTCAACTCCAAACTTATTAACCACACATTGAATCATTGATTTGTTGTTAGGTGAATTATGGCTGAACCTGTCAGATATTAGTTACAGGTGTATAAATATATATATTTGTTTAATTAAACAAAAGCATTTTTTTCCTGGATCATTTAAAAAAAAAAAAAAAGCACTGGCTAACAAAACGTGCAAAGTTCTCAACTCCAAACTTATTAACCACACATTGAATCATTGATTTGTTGTTAGGTGAATTATGGCTGAACCTGTCAGATATTTGAGGTTTGGAACAGCTGTTTACCATTATGTTTTTAATGGCAACTTTGACAACCTAATGATTTCCTCCCATTTTCACATAAATCTATACAATTTCAACTCCTGTTTCATGAATTTTTTTGTTACTCAATGTTCTTTATTTCATAAATGTAGTTTATTTTAATGTCATGATTACGTCTCTTTTGCTAACATTTTTATTTACAGCGTGGTGAGCCTAGCCCTAGGCTGGGTTACCGCGCTGCATAAGACCACTAATAATAATAATAATTTGATGCAATAGTTTATACTACATAGAGTGTTAACAATACACAAGAATTTGAAAACAACAAAAGAATAGAGTATGGTTATGCAGCACAGAAATTTATTGAGCGTAAATGAAAGCTCCCAAAAGTAAGTACCCGATTTTGAGCATGTTTAACAGTAGGTCATGCAATATACATAATATTAAATTAACATCAGTTTTATTAAATGCTTTGGAAAGTCGGTTAAGCAAATTATTGATCTACCCCACCCCCCACAAAAAAGAGAAAAAAAATGCAAAATATGATTGAAGGTAACTAACCACACACCAAAATATTGTAATATTGATATAGGTTTTTTGCTCTGTAAATACCAAACTTTGGTGGATTTTTTTAATACAAATTTATTAAAGATACATAGCATGAAACAAAAACAAACATAACAGATTTTAACATTGATTACATTTGGCAAGCTGGAATCTCCAAGTGGAGTTCCTTCAACAAGAACATGTTTCTGGTTGACACACTGTGTCAGTAAGTGGGTGGTCTCAATTTAACAAACCAAAAAGAAGGGTAAAATTTGACGACTGAAATGTCCAGATTATGGAAATGAATTTTTAGTGGTAACAACTGATCGTAAAGAGCTGCTCCAATTTCTACAGATCTCCAGCATCTTCATCAGCTCCCTCTTCAACCTCTACATCCTCATCGATAGTAGCTTCTTGGTACTGTTGGTACTCAGAAACAAGATCGTTCATGTTGGACTCTGCCTCTGTGAACTCCATCTCATCCATTCCCTCGCCGGTGTACCAGTGGAGGAAAGCCTTACGACGGAACATGGCTGAGTATAGAATAGAAATGGTACTCAATTTATACCTCTTTTATTTTCTTTAGCATTTTTATTTTTGTGCACACTATTATATTTTTGTTCGTTTTTATTCTTTAAACTTACTTAATATTTGAAATTAAAGCACATTGCACTTTTTTATACCTAAGTTTAAAAGAATCAAACTAAAAAATGTAATTCTTTTTAAAAATATTCTTTTGTGTTTATGGTTTTACTATTAGCCTGACTTGGTAGGTTCAGGCTTATTGATTAGTCTTGCTATATAGATAAATAGTGTTTCCATGATTCATCTGTATATCACAAGTAAAAAGCCATCTTGTTGATTGTTACATTTCAATGACAAAGTAAGATTTTATTTACCCATCAAATACTATTTTCTACACCGTTGAAGTCAAGGCTTATTGGTCAAGGCCTCTTGGTGACGTAAGACATTGCTTAAGTTTTGAATACATATTTTTCTCCAAAAGTTTCAAGTACTTTTTCCCTTTAAAAACATAATTAAAAAGCAAACCTGTGAACTGCTCAGAGATGCGCTTAAAAAGCTCTTGAATTGCAGTGTTGTTTCCAATGAAAGTTGCAGACATTTTCAAGCCTCTTGGTGCAATGTCACAAACAGCAGTTTTGATGTTGTTGGGAATCCATTCCACAAAGTAGGATGAGTTTTTGTTTTGAACATTCAGCATCTGCTCATCAACTTCTTTCATGGACATGCGACCTCTGAACATTGCAGCCACAGTAAGGTAGCGGCCGTGTCTTGGATCACATGCGGCCATCATGTTCTTTGCATCAAACATTTGCTGAGTCAGCTCTGGAACGGTGAGGGCTCGATATTGAGAGCTCCCCCTGGATGTAAGAGGTGCAAACCCAGGCATGAAAAAGTGCAAGCGTGGGAAAGGGACCATGTTTACAGCAAGTTTGCGGAGATCTGCATTCAACTGACCAGGGAATCTGAGGGAGGTTGTCACCCCTGACATGGTGATAGAAACCAAGTGATTGAGGTCACCATAGGTTGGGGTTGACAGCTTCAAGGTTCTGAAGCAGATATCATAAAGAGCCTCGTTGTCAATGCAGTAGGTTTCATCTGTGTTTTCTACCAGCTGATGGACTGACAGTGTTGCATTGTAGGGCTCTACAACTGTATCAGAGACCTGTTAGAAAAAATACAAGAGAAACCTTATCTTTTGGAAAATTCAAAGATCAGTCACAAAATAAAGCTACATAAAGGCCTACCATAAGCAATGTAAGAAGCCATTTTGAAATGACCACTGTTGAGATCACAATGAAATATGTACACTGGTAACTGAAATTTGCACAAAAAACTGAATGCTTCTTCTTATAAACCTCTTTAATTTAAAGCCATTGAAGTTGAAGCTGATACAATATATTATATTTAAAATATACAATATACCGGTCGGCAACACAAACAATTTAACACACTAGCAAATCAAAATATTTTATTGCAAATGTTATCTAAGTAAAATATTGTTGAAATACACTTTTTAAAAAAGACAAATGTAATACACAGAGGAGGATGAAGACCCCCAACAAAATAATAATTAACTCATAATAAATTTTAAATGGCTTTTGAATTCAATAATATTTCCCATCCATTAAGTAACATTATAAAAAAAATTAATGTAATTTATTTCATATATCAATTACTTTCAATATTTAACATTGTTAATTTTTTACTGGTACTCTAATTGTTCTAGCAATAGGTCCAATTTTTATTTTAAGGACTTACTTTAGGTGAAGGAACAACAGAGAAAGAGGTCATGATTCTATCAGGGTACTCTTCTCTCATTTTACTAATGAGCAAAGTGCCCAGCCCTGATCCAGTACCACCACCAAGTGAATGGGCCAGTTGAAAACCCTGAAATCAAGAAAATTTTGTCTTAACATTTTAAATACAAATGCAACATTTAAATTTCATTTCATGATCATTCATCCACTCAGGGACAAACCTTATTTCCTTCAACCACTAGGTACAAATTAACCACTGGTATTATAAATTTCACAGCCACTAAATAAAGTGTGGATTTTTTCATTCTGACATGGATTGACTTGACCAATGTCATACTAACTTTTATATCGTCTTATTGCACATTTATGATTTTATATACCTAAATTTTAAAACTCACTAAATTATATAGTCCTTATTACTCATTTATTAACTGAAGCATATTTTAAATAATTATTTGACAAAATGCTCTTGCATAAATAAAAGAATAGAACTGAGCTTTTCCCTTTTTTTTTTTTTTTTTTTTTAATCCCTGCAGAAAGTCGCAGTTTTCAGATTCTTTTCTAATGACATCCATGACAGCATCTACAAGTTCGGCCCCTTCTGTATAGTGACCTTTGGCCCAGTTGTTGCCTGCCCCAGTCTGTCCAAACACAAAGTTGTCAGGTCTGAATAACTGACCAAAAGCTCCTGATCTGACAGCGTCCATCGTCCCAGGCTCCAAATCAATAAGAACTGATCGGGGAACATATTTACCACCTGTAAAATGTATATATTTGTTTAAGATTGCAGCAAAGAGAGAAAAGCAGTGTATTTCAATTATTTGTTGAGCTCTTTAACAACTTCTACAAAGTAATCATTAAATTTTACTTATTTCAATAATTAACATCTAAAATGATCCTGTTGCATTGATCAAGGACATAAATTTGTTATATATGACCCAAAAGTTTCATTCCAATATTATAGTTGTGATAAATGGCTAGAATGGCATTAACATTTTGCAAAAGAGGCCCATGTCAACTATTTATCCTCTTATAGTTAACTTTTATTCTCTTATAGGATGCTGAAGTTTAGCACAGGAATAACTTATGATTTATATCTAAATATTTTTCATCATCTGGTTCTGGTAAAACATGCATTAAAAAAGGTAACTTAGCAACAGTTTGATTTAATTACCTGAAGCCTCTGTGTAATAGACATTGATCCTCTCCAACTGAAGTGGACTGTCGCCATGGTAGTTTCCTGTTGGGTCAATGCCATGCTCATCAGATATGCACTCCCAGAACTGTCAAAACAAAAAGTTCATATTATCAGAGAATTAAATAAATAAATTTGTCAAACTTTTATTTGAAAGAATTAAGATTTTTTTTTTTAAATATAGTTATGTTGTTCTAGAGGTCTTTATGAATTTTGTAAAACCTTATTAATCCCCCCCCCCCCCCCAAATCATCATCATCGCCTGTCGTCCCGTCTGGGGCATAGGCCACAAACAAACAATTTAAATTTTGATTAGTAATTAGCTATTGGCTTGTTTTTGCTTTTTTTTAATAGGCCTTTGCCTTTAAAAAGGGGTGGGGGTGAAGGTTTACCTTGCTTATTTGTTTTGTTTAAGGAATACCCCTATAAATATCAAAATATTAGTATATCATTTCCTTTGTAAAAAAATTAACACTGTGTGATGTAAATGTGTGAGTATAGTAAGTATGGGCAAACAATAGGAATCCCACCCCCAAATACGATTTAAAATAGCCCGTTTTGAATGCCTTGTCAATGTCAGAATGGTCTTTGACTTTAGTCTAAAAGGCAAAATTCGTCTGAATTCAATTATGCTCATAAATACTAAATTAAATAGTTTAATAGTAAACACGTAACCCTAATGTACTTTCTACGTCTACAGTCTAGTCTATAGTATAGTCATAGACTATCTTAACTATCTATAGTCTTAGTCACTATACTATAGTATAGTTATAGTCTATACTATACTATAACTATAGACTATAATAGCTTACTTAAAATTGTTAAATTTAAATTGTGTGCTACACTACACTCAACACTGAAATACGTTAATGTTCGAATCTTTTCTTATTTTGTAATCCCCACCCCGAAAATTTTACAATCTATAATAAAAAAAGAGAAGGAAAAAAAATGGTCTTTTGTCACTTCTGAATCCTCAAACAAAATAAGAAGGAAAATACATTTTTTTTTAATTTTCATATCATTTCATGTTACTAAAACTTATAGCCAGGTATGTGTCAAGTGCAGGAAAAAAAAAATACTTTTCCCTAAAACCAAAATAAATGGGTCAAAGTCACGAATATTTCACAACAAAATCATAAACCCCACCATAGATATGACTCACATGTCATTATATCTTATATACTGTAACGGCTGTTGACATACTATTCTAAGAAAGAAAATGCACATCGATTTACGGATTCTAAATTATAGTGCAAACTGGCTGCGTTTCATGAACTCTTTTTAAATCATTCGTTTTCAATGTGCGTCACATATAATTTTTATAGTATATTTTGGTTAATTTCACGCTTGAATGTGGGAGGATTGGATGACCTCAAGCACAGTTACTCGAGAGTCACTGCAGTAAAGACTCGCACAGCTGTTGCCACGAAAGGCCGCTGCAAGCCAGTTAATTAGCCTTCCTCTCGCGGTTGCAGCCGTCTGGGGGTGGGGAGGGGCCAATTAGTATTTGGATTTTCAATATGTTCAAAGCACAAACAAAAATAGCTCATACAGAATTGGGAGATTTATGTGGGTTTTCAAGTGAATAAGAATGCTGAAAATCAATGGTCCATTTTACAAATATTTTTAGCATGAGATGCTTCAGAAATGAATACACTGCTGCAGGGACGTAATTAGGGTAGAGCAGGGTGGGGCATTTGCTCGCACTCCCCTGAATTTTCAGGTTTTATTTAAATCGCTATGCACAGTGGGGCCTTCAGTAATAAACAACTTAACAAGCCGAACAAGTTTTGCCCCCCCCCCCCCGGCCCAATTTTGAAAAAACCTGAAATGACGCCTCTGCACTGTAGTGCATACAATGGATGAGCCGTCGCGTAGGCCTTGCAACCACCCCCCCCCCAACCCTAGCTGAAGAAAAAAAAATGGGGGGGGGGGGCGCTCGAAAATTTAAGAAGCTGACGACATCTTCGACCCGTAGCAGAATTGTCATTTCATTACTCACGACTCTAAGTTGCCAGCTTGTTGACTTTTGAAAAACATTTGCGCACTCGTGTAGACCGATGTGTGAGTTGCGTCATCAGTAAGCCTACAAGATGAGACAGCCTCGTAGGTCCTGACTTTTTTTTTCAGTTTAAACTAATAGTTGATTTAAGAATGCACCATAGTTCGGGAACGAACAAATGTAAATGACTAACTGGCATGTGTGGAACAAATCTTATATGTAATTAATTAAGTAATTTTATAAAGGGCCTTACAAGGGGCTAAAATACCTGGTTACTCAAGTGACGTCCAACCCCCCCCCCCCCCACCCCCCACACACTCCAGTGTAGAAGCTCCTGGACTAATCAAAATTTCTTACCGTATATTAAAACAAGTTATAATGAACTGTTCAAAACTAATTGGTAGACCACCCTACAGTTTAAAACACTAACAGAATTTATTATTATTTTTTTGCGATGCCATGCCATCTGTATTTTAATTTCATTAATCCACCACTGACAACGCCCCCACCCACCCACCCCACTTTATGTGTCATGTAGAATTTACCATTGTTAAAACTTTGTGTATTTATCTGTAAACCTTTCTCGACACGTTCCCATAGTTCATTTCCGATGGTATTGGTCTACTTCTAACATGTGTAATGGCATTGGTCTAAGTCTGACATATATAATGGTATTGGTCTACTTTTGACATATGTAGGGCCTAATCGTAGTGGTCTACTTCTAACATATGTAATGGTATTGGTCTGATTCTAACAATATAATGGTATTGGTCTAATTCTAACAAATGTAATGCTATTAGTCCATGACATGTTCCACCCGGCACATCCTCGGGCCTCGATCGATCTTCTGTCTAGACCGGGCCTAAGACCCATGCTGCCGGCCGGCACGAGGTCAGGGTGGGGGGGGGGGGGTCTCTTTATTCATTGGGCACCAAGAGATTACCACCCTCGGGCCGGTCCAAGATAGGGAAGAGGATAAAGATGTGGGGGGGGGGGGGGGGGGGGGGGGGGGGGGGGGGTCCCTTTATTCATTGGGCACCAAGAGATTACCACACTCGGGCCGGTTCAAGATAGGGAAGAGGATAAAGATGTGGACGGAGAATGAGTGTTGTATGGTGAATTCAGTGCAATTCTGTGTCGTTCTACAGTCTATTGTTACATTCAGTGTAATTCTACGGTCTATTGCTACAAAGTATAAATAGCTTAATTGTTCTCAAGATTAAGAATGAATATGGAATGATTACTCCCCCCCCCCCACACACACACACACACAAAACACACACGGATTTCCTTGCCACAAAATATCAAGTGTACCCAAATTTTAGGTGCAACAGAAATATAAAGTTTACCCAAATTTTAGGTGCAACAATAATATAAAGTTTACCCAAATGCTAAGTACAACAGAAATATCAAATTTACAAATGTACAGCAGAAATCGATTGCATGAATAACAAGTTTACCAGATGATCTTAGGTCGAGGCCAAATAAGAGTCATAATAATGGTTCGTCGTGATAAAAGAAAGAAATACAATTACAAATGTGAAAATAAAAACCTTAGAACTGTTTAAAAAATAAAATTATAAACTATATATGTTTTTTTTTTTTTTTGTAATGAGGTTATGCTTAAACCCACTTTTACATTTTAAAAATATGTGTGTATTCTGGCAACAAAATATTAGTAAACGAGAGTATTTCGCTTGATTTTCATCACAGTCCGGCCAGGAGAGCTCCACCAAATACTGTCAGTAATGCCCACCGGAACAGTGTGAGGAATGTTGGAGATAACGCCACATCCAGTTCAAAGCAGATATCAATAGTCAGTTGCTCATCTCTGTTTGGCCGAAATCCCATAACATACCAGGACCGTGTTGACCCAGCGGTGATAAAATTTATGATCAGATGATACCAAATGTTGATTTTTAATAATCGACATTTTTGTAGGAGATTCAACAGCGTCATAAATAGGCTTTTTTAAAAAAAATATATTACTATAGCTATAGGAGTTCATTGTCTTAGGCTATTTTGTTGAAATCGCACTAATTTTGACCAAAAATATTTTCGTAATAATAGTATCCATAATTTCTATACCGGTATATATTCCTGATTTGGTCACCGGGTATTTTGTCTTTACATTAAAATAATAATACTAATAAAAGATTTGACGCCATCAATTCTTTTATTGTTTAAAGTGCTATTTCAAAGTCAATGCATCTACTAATCGAGGCGGTACCAGCTAAACTAAATCAAGAGAACCACTGCTGTGGAGGGCAGTAGGCAGCACTTTGCCGCAGCACGCACGCGCGGAATGATAAAGGATGACACACAAGCGGAAATGTTTCCACATCAATCGATGCTCTTGAAATGAAGTAGACCAGGGGTGCTCAAATTACGGCCCGCGGGCTAGATCCAGGCCACCGGGGGCAATCGTTCGGTTACCCGGGTAGCAGTGACATATATAGAACCGGGCATTGACCCTTTCCACTAGCCAAAGGCAGGCCCACGCTTCAAAGCGAAATCCTACAACTTGTTGAATAAAATATTTCTTCAATTTAAATACGGTATTGTATTGTATTTTACTGTTTTTTTTCCCCCACTAAAAATAAGGCAAGTGTAATGTGCATAAGAATTATATGGCATTTTTTCAAACTAAAGTCTATGGGACAGTGTTGTATGGGTGCATCGGGCCCCTGATTCAAAAGTTAGAGGACCCCTGAACGAGACCATCGGTAGTGGCAGTGTTTCTGTTTTCATTTCTTCATAGCACACGTCCCCTATTCTGTTTTCCCTTGCTTGTTCCCCATCCTGTTTTTTCATTCCTTTGGCTATTAAAATGTCCAGTACGATGTAGTGAAAAGTGTAAACTCGTTTGAAAGGGGGAGTTAACCGTGTTGGAATAGGGAGACTGAACCACGTCAAACCACCACGAAATAAAACCTAAAGCAATGGTTCTGAGGCTTTGATAAACATTGACGTACAACAAACAACTACAAGTGCAATGGGTTTATAAAATGAAAATCTTATAGTTCATAAATTATTACACGTACACTTCTTGGTGAAAACATTAAAACACGGTGTCATTTAGTTCTAAAGCTGCACGCTTAAGGGGATCGTTTGATCACGTCATTCCATACAAAGTTTATACTTATACTATACCTAGTTCGAAGTTTTATTTCTTTCAACAAAGTTTTAATTAATATTAGTTAATTCCTTAAAATATATTTAGCATTATTTTATCTTAAGCAAGTCCTTATTTTGTTATTTCTTATTCACATCTATATATTAAAAAAAAAAGATGAAAATGTGAAGGTGGGTCTGTTATTTCCGCGGATTTGATGACCGATCAGATTGACTGACTCATCCCTGTGCCAGCGTGGAAGGTTGAACCTTGACCCCCGACCCTACATAAACTGGGTCAGATTTCTCATACCTGGGTTGACGTGAAAAACCCCTGGTGAAATGGTGAAATCGCAGATGAAGATTTTCTAGCGATGGCTAGTACAGTTAGTTGTGTTGTGAATGGCACAGCACGGGATGGGTGATGGGTTTAGTTGTGTTGTGAATGGCACAGCACGGGATGGGTGATGGGTTTAGTTGTGTTGTGAATGGCACAGCACGGGATGGGTGATGGGTTTAGTTGTGTTGTGAATGGCACAGCACGGGATGGGTGATGGGTTTAGTTTGTTGTGAGTCGTTTGACAACATGCACGAGAGTTTTTATTTTAAACTTTGAACAAAGAATGTTTCACCACCGATGTGTATAAACATTCTATGACTTTATAATAGCAACAAAAAAACAACAAAAAAAACGATCCAAATAATCACTTTAAGTCAAATTAAGTCGTAACATATACATAATGATATGCGCAGAGTCGTCATAATACGGTAATATTAATATTTCCCCCATATTTCTCTCTCACATATACATGTTGAATGTCGGTTGCACTAGACTAGCTAGGATGTGTAAACGACAGAGCTAAAAGCGAAAGTTGTGTTAAAATGTTAGTTCGGTAGAAATTTTTAGGCAAAGATGGGGGTACACTTTTTTTTTCCAACGGTCCAACAAAAGCCGCTCCCCCCCTTCCACACATGACCTAGATGTCATGTATCTGACATCTTTCATTTTAGGCAGCGGTAAATAACGAATGTTTGATAGACAAATGAATGGATAGATTTGGTGGATTGATGGATACACTGGTAGAAGAGAATATTTAGTCTGTTTTAAATAGTTGGGAGAAGTGCACAAATATGTCATGTGCTTACACAGTTGCAGTCATGTGCTTACACTGGTGCAGTCATGTGCTTACACGGTGGCAGTCATGTGCTTACACTGGTGCAGTCATGTGCTTACACTGGTGCAGTCATGTGCTTAAACTGTTGCAGTCATGTGCTTACACTGGCACAGTCATGTGCTTACACTGGCGCAGTCATGTGCTTACACTGGCGCAGTCATGTGCTTACATTGGTTGCACTCGTGATGGGGTGATCACATCGATGGCTGTGCAAGATGGCAAACTCATTGCGGATGTGTAACAGTTTTCGATGGGCCACTCAGTGAGAGTGGCTGACAAGTGAGATCAGTTCAGCACACTGTGGGTGGAAAGGGGGGGGGGGGGGCTGTTTATTTGTGCATAAAAAAGTTAGTCATTCATTGTGCAGGGTAATAGTGGCACTGATTGTGCAGGGTGATAGTGGCACTGATTGTGCAGGGTGATAGTGGCACTGATTGTGCAGGGTGATAGTGGCACTGATTGTACAGGGTGATAGTGGCACTGATTGTGCAGGTTGATAGTGGCACTGATTGTGGAGGATGAAAGTGGCACTGATTGTGCAGGGTGAAAGGGGCACTGATTGTACAGGGTCATAGTGGCACTGATTGTACAGGGTCATAGTGGCACTGATTGTACAGGGTGATAGTGGCACTGATTGTACTGGGTGATAGTGGCACTGATTGTACAGGGTGATAGTGGCACTGATTGTACTGGGTGATAGTGGCACTGATTGTACTGGGTAATAGTGGCACTGATTGTGCAGGGTGATAGTGGCACTAATTGTGCAGGTTGATAGTGGCACTGATTGTACAGGGTGATAGTGGGACTGATTGTACAGGGTGAGAGTGGTACTGATTGGGCCAAAGGTAATGTTGCATTTTAATTATTTTAAAAGCCGTCGAGAAATATTCATGCAGAATAGGCAATCTTTATAACTGTCTGCCACGTGACAGAGCCGAATCCATGTGACATTTGACGAATCCATGTAACATTTGACGAATCCAAGGGACATTTGACGAATCCAAGTGACATTTGACGAATCCAAGGGACATTTGACGAATCCAAGTGACATTTGACGAATCCATGCGACATTTGACGAATCCATGCGACATTTGACGAATCCATGCGACATTTGACGAATCCAGGCGACATGTGACGAATCCTGGTGACATTTGGCGAATTCTGATGATATATACACATTTGACGAATCCTAGGGCTTGTGTTGGTTTTTCTTTTCAGGAAAGGGGAAACAGAAGTTAAGTAGGAGCCGTTCCTGGTGTCATCCACGTCAGAGTATCTACATTTAGACCGTTCCCCGTTGAGCCTGGTGTTTGTCTGTGACGCTCAGCTGACTTGCACTCTTAGCAACGCTTTTCTTAGGACTCTTCCATGCATCACTGCCATGTTTACTTTGACGAAATGGCAGTCTATGACGTCAATGTTACGTCAATTTTAACAGAGGGGGGGGGGTGTTAGAGGTAGAGATGGGTGGAGACCAAGTAGATTTGGTCAAACAACTAGAGGCAGAGATGGGTGGAGACCAAGTAGATGTGGTCAAACAGCTAGAGGCAGAGATGGTTGGAGACCAAGTAGATTTGGTCAAACAACTAGAGACAGATGGGTGGAGACCAAGTAGATTTGGTCAAACAACTAGAGGCAGAGGTGGGTGGAGACCAAGTAAATTTAGTCAAACAACTAGAGGCAGAGGTGGGTGGAGACCAAGTAAATTTAGTCAAACAACTAGAGGCAGAGATGGGTGGAGACCAAGTAGATTTGGTCAAACAACTAGAGGCAGAGGTGGGTGGAGACCAAGTAAATTTAGTCAAACAACTAGAGGCAGAGGTGGGTGGAGACCAAGTAGATTTGGTCAAACAACTAGAGGCAGAGATGGGTGGAGACCAAGTAAATTTGGTCAAACAACTAGAGGCAGAGGTGGGTGGAGACCAAGTAGATTTGGTCAAACAACTAGAGGCAGAGATGGGTGGGTACCAAGTAGATTTGGTCAAACAACTAGAGGCAGAGATGGGTGGAGACCAAGTAGATTTGGTCAAACAACTAGAGGCAGAGATGGGTGGGTACCAAGTAGATTTGGTCAAACAACTAGAGGCAGAGATGGGTGGGTACCAAGTAGATTTGGTCAAGAAAATTGGAACCAACTGTATGTTCTTACTACGCAAACAATAGCATACCCCCCCCCCCCCAATGCAATCGGCATGTCCCTTCGCGATAGGTCTTGATAGATCCCGTTTCAGGGGTAGTTTTTGCTGACTGAGTAAGAGGGGTTTTCACTCAATTATACTCAATTATTGTAACACCCCCCCCCCCATTTTTTTTTTGCCCCACGAAAAAAATCAAACATTTAAAGTTGGCCGATAAGGCCACCTGGCCACTTTCAACAGAAAGAATCGCACACAACTGAGTATAATTGCAGCCTTGCAAAAAAAAATTTACAAATGTCATCGCGATAGGTCTTGATAGATCCCGTTTCAGGGGTAGTTTTTGCTGACTGAGTAAGAGGGGTTTTCACTCAATTATACTCAAATATTGTAACACCCCCCCCCCCATTTTTTTTTTGCCCCACGAAAAAAATCAAACATTTAAAGTTGGCCGATAAGGCCACCTGGCCACCTTCAACAGAAAGAATCGCACACAACTGAGTATAATTGCAGCCTTGCAAAAAAAAATTTACAAATGTCTACACATGGGCCTACAAACATCCATACAAGTACACACATCCATAGAAGTACATACATCCATACAAGTACACAAATCCATAGAAGTACATACATCCATACAAGTACACACATCCATAGAAGTATACATATTAATACAAGTACACACATCCATACACAAAAGTACACACATCCATACACACAAGTAATTTCATCCACACACACATCCATACACACAAGTACACACATCCATACACCCATGTTGCAGTTTAAAACTGATGGAAGAAAATTGGTGGAAATGACGTTGCAAGTTATACAAAGTTGTTGTACAAGGTATTGGATAGCTGAACTAGTGGTCGAATACAACAACTAGTAGGGTAGATCGAATACAACTAGTAGGGTAGATCGAAAACAACTAGTAGGGTAGATCGAATACAACTAGTAGGGTAGATCGAATACAACTAGTGGGGTAGATCGAAAACAACAACTAGTAGAGTAGATCGAATAAAAAAAAAAAATAGTTTTGAAAATATGCACAAGTAACCATGCCTCTGGTCAAAGTAAACAAAAGAACAAGACAAGAGAAGCAGATGTCAGATTTAAAGAAAGAGCACAACCTTGGTCAAATCGTATGACACATGCATCTTATGGCTATGGTGGACTTCGGGGCATGTGGGACTTTAGGTCAATATAATATCTAAACGCACTAGAGAGGGTGAAGAGGGCATACGTTTTATATTTCCTCATTACAACCAAGCCACGAGTGCCAACTGCCAACTGCCAACTCATTAACGTCACACCATAGGTCGTAGGTCAGCATGCAACTTCGGGGGGGGGGGGGGGTTGTGTGCTCGCTAGGCGGGGCGGGAGGTTGAGAAGTGGACCAAGTCAATGGAACATGTGCCCCCATAGTTGCGATTTTGTAACTTTTTTTTTTTTTTGGCGTCGTGCGATCTTTCATGTTTCAACAAACTGGTTGTCAGCCATTAGTTGAGAGTCATTGACTTGAGTAGGGCGACCTCATCCGTTGTTAGCCATTAGTTGAGAGTCATTGACTTGAGTAGGGCGACCTCATCCGTTGTTAGCCATTAGTTGAGAGTCATTGACTTGAGTAGGGCAACCTCATCCGTTGTTAGCCATTAGTTGAGTTTGCGGCCTATCTACTGAACTGTAACATCAAACATGGGGGCTTATATCTACTGGACTGTAACATCAAACATGGCGGCTAATGTCTACTGAACTGTAACATCAAACATGGCGGCCAATGTCTACTGAACTGTAACATCAAACATGGCGGCTTATATCTACTGAACTGTAACATCAAACATGGCGGCTAATGTCTACTGAACTGTAACATCAAACATGGCGGCTAATGTCTACTGAACTGTAACATCAAACATGGCGGCTTATATCTACTTGTCTACTAAACTGTAACATCAAACATGGTGGCTTATATCTACTGAACTGTAACATCAAACTTGGCGGCTTATATCTACTGAACTGTAACATCAAACTTGGCGGCTAATGTCTACTGAACTGTAACATCAAACATGGCGGCTTATATCTACTGAACTGTAACATCAAATTTGGCGGCTAATGTCTACTGAACTGTAACATCAAACATTGCAGCTTATATCTACTGAACTGTAACATCAAACATGGCAGCTTATATCTACTTAACTGTAACATCAAACATTGCAGCTTATATCTACTGAACTGTAACATCAAACGTGGCGGCTAATGTCTACTGAACTGTAACATCAAACATGGCAGCTTATATCTACTGAACTGTAACATCAAACATGGCAGCTCATTACGCGGGTCAAATCACGTATAGCAGTGATTATCATAGGGCTGTCACCACGAACCCAGGAATCAGGAGGTGGGCTGCATTTTATGAGATAATGTATTCCAGGAATCAGGAGGTGGGCTGCATTTTATGAGATAATGTATTTTCAGTGTCCTTGGTGTTGATTAGTTCTATTATAAAATTATTACTGTGATTTTTATAAACATTTAAAATAAAAAAATAGGCAAAAGACAATACATTCCATAAATTTAAGAGAGTGATGTAATAGATATTTGAAACTTCTCTTTGACCAGATTATGTCATTTAATACAGTGTGTGAGTGTGTCGGGGGGGGGGGGGCTTATATAGTTTAGGGCCTCAGCAAGTCTAAGTCCGGCCCTGCATGAAGGGGAAATGTGACGTGGGGGGGGTGTGTGACGGGGGGGGGGTGTGTTTATAATTGAGTGGGTGGTGGGGTCTGGGGGGGGGGGCTTATATAGTTTAGGGCCTCAGCAAGTCTAAGTCCGGCCCTGCATGAAGGTGAAATGTGACGTGTGGGTGGTGTGTGACGTGTGGGTGGTGTGTTTTGTGTTACAATTGTGCGTGTTATGTCCAACTCAAGTATAAACGTCAACTCCAGATCGACACCTTGATGTGTTACCCTGCCTCAGCAGTTACGTTTCTGACCTTGACCTCGTTGGACCAGGAGCGGAGAATCAGGAAATGCGGGAGGGGTGTCGGTTTATACACATAAATGCAAGATACAGCTAAATCCTAACATGGACATTCGTAATACTTTTTCCTATTGGTTCTATGACTATATTCTATAAACTTGCCACAATCCAGAGGCTTAGAGAACAGGATTGGTTCCAGGGGGAGGGGAGAAGTTTATGTAAGATTGAGACCGTTCGTCAAGCTAAAGGACACTGGTGAGGCCAGTAGACCGTGGAGACAGTTTTAGCCCTTCACCCCCCCACCCCCTTTCCCCATCTCTCGTCACCATGTAGCGTCAAAGGACAACTTCTGCAATTCATTACAGTTAATATATTACATTTTAAAACATCACATTTCAATTTGACCCCATTGATAATAATTGCATAAGGTATTATTTTTTTAATGGAACTGACTGACTTGAGTAACCATGAATAGAGTCTTAAAACACTAGGTCTAATCAGATTTGTGCACACGATCGCATACGATTCTAAGCAACTGACTACTTGGGTGGGTGAAAGGTCTGAGAGTATTTCATTTATGACGTCACGGCATTTATAAATATCGCTGACGCCGCGGAAACGTTGAGACCGTGTGGGATGGTGTGAGGTGGGGGACACGGCAGACGGTATGAGATGGTGTGAGGTGGGGGACACGGCAGACAGACAGTGGGACAATTAGTCTGTGTGTCACTGGACGGTGCTAGGAAAACTATCGACAGCATAGGCACGAGGACCATGACCAGGTATATTAATAGGACACGCCAGTGGTCCTCAGGCAGTTTCGAGCAAAGTACCCAAGCTAGCATGTCCAAGACATGAAAAAATAATATAGAAAACATACATTTTGCATGTTTTGTAAATAAGATAAGATCAGATTATTTTATTGGTCAAAATAAACGGAAAGGTTTTTTTATTGTATTATACATTTTCAGCACATAAAACAATTTGAAGACAAGACATTTATAAAAAATATCTCAAACTGCCATTCAGTGAGTTCTCTTAGCCAAATCGGGGAATTCAGGCCCGTTCTTAGGCATACACTGACTACGCATCCGCGTGACTACGCATCCGCGTAGGGCCACGCACGTGATGGGGCCCCCGTGAGGCGCCCTCGATTCCCCGTTTTTTTTTTTTTTTTTATCTGGCTCTGCAGCCGTCCGTGTCACACTGCAGCCGTCCGTGTCACACTGCAGCCGTCCGTGTCACACTGCAGCCGTCTGTGTCACACTGCAGCCGTCCGTGTCACACTGCAGCCGTCTGTGTCACACTGCAGCCGTCTGTGTCACTCTGCAGCCGTCTGTGTCACTCACGTTACCTTCCTCATCCTGAAATTTACCATTCTGTGTTGAATTCGGAGGCAGGGGAAGGGAAACATTGATGAAGGCAGAATGGAGGAGCCGCAGTGGTGGGTGGTGTTTTCTCCTCGACTCGAGGGAGCTCCACCCCCGGACCTCCCCCCCCCTCCGGGGCCCCTAACCTACGCACCATGCTTAGGGCCCCAAACTCCTAAGAACGACTCTGGGGACTTATTAATTCTCATGAAGATGTGTGACTTCAGAGGGAGGACGCCGGTAAATTCGTACAGATTGGGGAACAAATGCATTTTTATATCTTTCGGTCCTCGCCCTGATGGAAAGAACTCGTCCCGAACGGCCCGATCCTAAGTATTTGTGATGAAGAGGGTGGGATGTGCAAAAACATCTTTCTACCAATAGTTCTTCAAGTGAAGGATGTCTAGTTTGTGTTATGTACCTAGGAACTTTCTTGATAAGTCGTTTATGCGGTGTTTAATATCAGACGTTGAATTCCCACACCAGCAGGTAATACTGAAATTAAGTAGGCTTCCAATTGTTAAGTCCATCTGTTAAGTCCATCTGTTAAGTCCATCTGTTAAGTCCATCTGTTAAGTCCATCTGTTAAGTCCATCTGTTAAGTCCATCTGTTAAGTCCATCTGTTAAGTCCATCTGTTAAGTCCATCTGTTAAGTCCATCTGTTAAGTCCATCTGTTAAGTCCATCTGTTAAGTCCATCTGTTAAGTCCATCTGTTAAGTCCATCTGTTAAGGCCATCTGTTAAGTCCATCTCTTCAGTCCATCTGTTCAGTCCATCTGTTCAGTTCATCTCTTCAGTTCATCTGTCTATCTCTTTCTATACTGGACTTGTTATTTGGATTTTGTCTTTGCTCTCCCCCCCCACCCCGTTAATAAAGGCAATAATGTTATAGAAGTTAGGTGACGTCACTTCCTTTGCGTCCAACAGACTGGTGAGCACGGCCAACATAACAGCTTATCCGCTGTACATTTTAACATTACAAAAACGAAACAGCTTTTCCAGGCTTGGTGACGTCGATCATTGAAAGGGCACTCAGCTCACAATTAAAATTGATTCCGACCTTGTCAGACTGACAAAATGACATCACCCGGAAAAGGAACTGTGCCACTTAAAGAAAGTGGTAGCAGCTGACCCCAGGTGGTTGCCATGCTAAAGTTTAGATCAAATACGTGACCGTGGTAGTGTGTGCAGAGATTTAAAAGTCACGACAAGTTTGCGTCAACGGGGAAGGCCTGTGGACAGGGCCTGGCGATCGGGCCTGATATAGCCATGGTCTCATTGCATTCTTGGGCGATGTTAATGTTATCACCACCCTGGTTCATTAGACATTTGGGCAGCTGCCCTTGACCTAGACGTAAACAATGTCACAGAAAATACCGTATTCGGAAATTAAAACAAATTAATGTGTACGAAACCAATGACCAATGTGTACGAAACCAATGTTTACGAAACCAATGTGTATGAAACCAATGTGTACGAAACCAATGTGTACGAAACCAATGTGTACGAAACCAATGTGTACGAAACCAATGTGTACGAAACCAATGTGTACGAAACCAATGTGTAAGAAACCAATGTGTAAGAAACCAATGTGTAAGAAACCAATGTGTAAGAAACCAACGTGTAAGAAACCAACGTGTACGAAACCAATGTGTACGAAACCAATGTGTACTAAACCAATGTGTACGAAACCGATGTGTACGAAACCGATGTGTATGAAACCGATGTGTAAGAAACCAATGTGTAAGAAACCAATGTGTAAGAAACCAATGTGTAAGAAACCAATGTGTAAGAAACCAATGTGTACGAAACCAATGTGTATTAAACCAATATGTATGAAGGAATGTTGTTCCAACAGAAGAAATGTAACCAAAAATACAAAAATTAAAATTATTTAAATGTTTACATTGTATGCATTTCTCATTGGCAACTGCCTTTAAACATTTAGAAATTTAAAGAAAATTACTTCGTGGCACACAATTAATTTCGAACACACTTGTGTTCGAACAAATTGCCTTTCATACAAAGTGTGGGTAACTTTGGGTAGGTTTGGAAGTTAGGGTGAATGTATTGCTACGTACTGTAGAATGAACAATACGTAGAATGAACAATACGTAGAATGAACAATACGTAGAATGAACAATACGTAGAATGAACAATACGTAGAATGAACAATACGTAGAATGAACAATACGTAGAATGAACAATACGTAGAATGAACAATACGTAGAATGAACAATACGTAGAATGAACAATACGTAGAATGAACAATACGTAGAATGAACAATACGTAGAATGAACAATACGTAGAATGAACAATACGTAGAATGAACAATACGTAGAATGAACAATACGTAGAATGAGCAATATGTAACAAAGGACTGCAAACCAGCATACCAAGAAAAACTCTCCCAAAGCTGTTGACAATTGATACTAATAATATTCAATATTTGATTATACAATTAACTTTCTATAAAAATACAGATTCAAATACAGAGAAAGAAAACGTATCAACGTACATTACAGCAACTGAAAATGTACATACCTCGAAAAATACAAATAATTTACACACACACAAATCACACATAACACAGAATGCATTTTAACGTAAACAAACGTTTCCCAATCAAGAAAGAGGTGGGTAAGGAGTTACAGAGCACATCAACTTGGTGACATCAATTTCAATGCAAAACAAAGGGGAGGCAAGTGATTGTTGAGAGTCATTGACTTGAGTAGGGCGACCTAATTCGTGGCTAGCCATTAGATAGGCCTACACTGGTGCCATGACAATGGCCATTGCAATGAGGCGCTAGTTTCTGACATAGATTATGTTTAGTCATAATATACATTTTCATTTGTTGGGTTCAAGCGAATGTGGGAAGAGGGTGCATGTACGCCAACCCCACCCTCCTCCTCCCGTAGTTATTTGGAAGATTTGACATTTGAGTGTATCTAATGTCTTGTGTTTGTAATGACATCTAATGTCTTGACCAGTCTTTGTAATGACATCTAAAGTCTTGACCAGTCTTTGTAATGACATCTAGTGTCTTGACCAGTCTTTGTATCTAATGGTTTGAATAGTCTTTGTAATACCATCTGTTGTCTTGACCAGTTGTTGCTTTTTTTTGCTGGCATCCGTCCGTCACAATGTGACGATGGAGTGGGCTTCGTAGGACGAAATCCACATAGCCTGGGATTATTATACTTGAAGGATTATAAGCTGGTTCCCAACAGCAAATCGCCTCTCTCCACGCCGCTGGGTAACCCAAGGGAACATCATTGGATGATACAGCTTGGCACCAGTGACGTCGCAGGAGTTGTCGGAATGTTTCATTGTACCAATGTTGTCCGCCTTTCGGGACTCCATCTCCGGGTTTGATTTCAGAGTTTCCTTCTCTTAGATGAGTTGCCGTCCAAGGTTAGCGAGTCCCCGTCCAAGGTTAACGAGTCCCATCCGAGTCCCATCTACCCGGGGTGCTGGTGGTGTTTTTGCTCTAGCTGGAATTGAACTCCAGACCACCTACTTGAGATTTGCTCAGTTTAGACCACACGGCCACCCAGCACCCATTCTTGACCAGTTGTTGCAATGCCATATAATGTCTTGACCAGTCGTTGCAATGCCATACAATGTCTTGACCAGTCTTTGTAGTGCCGCATCTAATGGTTTGAACAGTCTTTGTAATGCCCTCTAACGTAAACTTTTTTTTTTCATTTAGCACTGAGTAGCATGACAAGTTTGAGAGGCACATCTCTGTTTGCTTGTTTGCCTTTTCCGGTCAAACGCTTCTGCTCTTCCCTGGGACGCAGCCCACAGGACTTGTTTTAGAGTAGGCTCAAAGAAACTCACCGGCAATAAAAACTACTGTCATAGGACCGTAGTGTCACCACTTGTTTGTTGCTGATACGCCCTTGAGCATCTCAGAACATTCCAACACAATTGGTAGAATTTAGTATATTTTTTAAGTGGCACAACGTCAAGCGTATAGCAATCCTTACATGACGGCCAAAATATTTATGTCTAGTGTATTTATAAATATAAATTGCTGACCAGTAATCCAACGAGGATTGGCCCCGGTGGGTGCCTGGGACAGTGCCCCGATCCCTATTTTTCTTTGCGGCACACCAAGACCCCAGATTTTAGCGTCACACTTAGACCCATCCCGGGCTTTAGTGGCACACCACAATCAGCTGTGCAGTGATGTTCTGTGTCAGTGATGTGCTGTGTCGCTGATGTTCTGTGTCAGTGATGTGCTGTGTCGCTGATGTTCTGTGTCTGCTGTGTCAGTGATGTGATGTATCAGGTATGTTCTGTGTCATTGATGTTCTGTGTCAGTGATGTGCTGTGTCAGTGATGTGCTGTGTCAGTGATGTGCTGTGTCAGTGATGTGCTGTGTCAGTGATGTGCTGTGTCAGTGATGTGCTGTGTCAGTGATGTGCTGTGTCAGTGATGTTCTGTGTCAGTGATGTGCTGTGTCAGTGATGTTCTGTGTCAGTGATGTTCTGTGTCAGTGATGTTCTGTATCAGTGATGTGCTGTGTCAGTGATGTGCTGTATCAGTGATGTTCTGTGTCAGTGATGTTCTGTGTCAGTGATGTTCTGTGTCAGTGATGTTCTGTGTCAGTGATGTGCTGTGTCAGTGATGTGCTGTATCAGTGGTGTGCTGTGTCAGTGATGTGCTGTGTCAGTGATGTTCTGTGTCAGTGATGTGCTGTGTCAGTGATGTTCTGTGTCAGTGATGTTCTGTGTCAGTGATGTGCTGTGTCAGTGATGTTCTGTGTCAGTGATGTGCTGTGTCAGTGATGTGCTGTGTCAGTGATGTGCTGTGTCAGTGATGTGCTGTGTCAGTGATGTGCTGTGTCAGTGATGTGCTGTGTCAGTGATGTGCTGTGTCAGTGATGTGCTGTGTCAGTGATGTGCTGTGTCAGTGATGTGCTGTGTCAGTGATGTGCTGTGTCAGTGATGTGCTGTGTCAGTGATGTGCTGTGTCAGTGATGTGCTGTGTCAGTGATGTGCTGTGTCAGTGATGTGCTGTGTCAGTGATGTGCTGTGTCAGTGATGTGCTGTGTCAGTGATGTGCTGTGTCAGTGATGTGCTGTGTCAGTGATGTGCTGTGTCAGTGATGTGCTGTGTCAGTGATGTGCTGTGTCAGTGATGTGCTGTGTCAGTGATGTGCTGTGTCAGTGATGTGCTGTGTCAGTGATGTGCTGTGTCAGTGATGTGCTGTGTCAGTGATGTGCTGTGTCAGTGATGTGCTGTGTCAGTGATGTGCTGTGTCAGTGATGTGCTGTGTCAGTGATGTGCTGTGTCAGTGATGTGCTGTGTCAGTGATGTGCTGTGTCAGTGATGTGCTGTGTCAGTGATGTGCTGTGTCAGTGATGTGCTGTGTCAGTGATGTGCTGTGTCAGTGATGTGCTGTGTCAGTGATGTGCTGTGTCAGTGATGTGCTGTGTCAGTGATGTGCTGTGTCAGTGATGTGCTGTGTCAGTGATGTGCTGTGTCAGTGATGTGCTGTGTCAGTGATGTGCTGTGTCAGTGATGTGCTGTGTCAGTGATGTGCTGTGTCAGTGATGTGCTGTGTCAGTGATGTGCTGTGTCAGTGATGTGCTGTGTCAGTGATGTGCTGTGTCAGTGATGTGCTGTGTCAGTGATGTGCTGTGTCAGTGATGTGCTGTGTCAGTGATGTTCTGTGTCAGTGATGTGCTGTGTCAGTGATGTTCTGTGTCAGTGATGTTCTGTGTCAGTGATGTGCTGTGTCAGTGATGTTCTGTGTCAGTGATGTTCTGTGTCAGTGATGTGCTGTGTCAGTGATGTACTGTGTCAAATCAAATCATTATTAAATTAGATTAAAGGGGTGTTGTGGTGTGTGCCGTATCATTTAAAGCACGGTACCCTACTCTGCTACACCTTGTAGGTCAAATGTCCAAAAAGTGAACATAGTGCTGCGGACAGCACAGAGGACAGCACAGCCACGTGACGTAACTGCTGTGTGGGGTCTACGTGGATACATTTCTGCTTTCGTCACCCTCCACAGTAAGTGGTAGTCTAGGAAAGTATTCACAATACAACGCTGACACAGGGGGGGGGGTGTAAATAAAGATAGTAGGGTGGGGAGATTGGAAGATAAGAGTTGAAGAATTTCTTCAAAGCTAAAAACCGTTAGCATCTTCGTCCAAAACTTTTATAAACGATAGAATCTCTGTGCAGCTCTCTTATATTTATTGTGTGTCGATGTACTTGATGAACAAAGAGAGATGTCCAAGTCCAATGCACTGTTTTAAACTCAGAGGGTATAGTGTATGCACAGTTTTTGTACGTCCAACCTTACCTTATCTAGACACGTGAAATAGATTTGTTTTATCGTTAAGTAGGTCTTATGTAAATTTGGGGAAGTAAGTATTATGCACATTTGGGGGAGTAGGTCTTTTTTACATTTTTGGAAGTATGCCTTAAGTAAATTTGGGGAGGGATTTTTTTAAACTGACAAGTCTGCTTCTTACCCCCCCCCCCCCACACACACACACTTTTCCTCAACATATACAAACTTAAACTTTTTTACCGTTGAGTGAGTGACCAGTGGACTCTCTCTGCCTCACTAGAGCCATCAATACCATCCACCATCAAGTAGTCAACGACCAGATCATAATTATTTAGATACGCCTGACTGCATTCTTTTAATGTTTAAGACTAGACCACTACTAGACCACTTTTCAACATCGCTAAAAATACGAACAGGTCAGTACTCACTTTGGAGCCGATCTGATTCCCACACTGACCAGCTTGCACGTGGACAATCTCCCTCATCTTCGCCTCGGTCACTCCGCCTTTCTGTGCTGTGTGTTGTTTACCTTCTCGCCGGTCTACACACTCGTTTCAAACACGTCTGCTCACACAGGGCGAAAAAAGAAACAGCAAATAACAACAAAACCACTCTCCAAAGTAGTTCCCCGTCGTTGTGTTGTTGATCGTTTTTCTCTCCCCCACTTTGCTCAGCGCACACACTTTCGGATCACCGTGAGTCAGACCTCTGCTCGTCGCCTGGTTCAAATCTCAGCCGAGCCTCTCCCCCTCAGACGTTCACAGGAGCTTTCAGCCAGGAAGAAGAGAGAAAGAAAAAAAGAAAGAAAAAAAAAAAGAAACTTCAAGTATACAAATCTGGCTGTGAAACTTGATGGCAAAACTGTAAACTCCTGCTGCTATTACGGACCTGCTTCAACTGCACTGCTGGACCAAAGCTATTTTCGAAAATACCAGTGATGAAAAGAAACACATAAGCGTCCGTGTTCAAGAGATGATGTGTGATTCTGTACACACTAGGAACACGCCAGCGTTAACGAAGTTCACTGTGTGTAAATACCTGGACAGAATGCGCATTTGTTGATGCTTAAAACTGAAATCAACCTTCACTGACCACAGGAAACATCAACACATGGAAACAATGGAGCACTGCAGTTGTTGATGTCTTTAACACACAACACCAAGAAAGGGCACCTTGAATTTCGAGTATGTCAAGTGACAATTACTCGGAGAAGACCCGTCCGTGATTGTTTGGTTAAAAAAAAACAAGCTTTCAGTATTTATAGTTCTGTGAAGCCGCGGTCGTTCGGCGGACGGGTCTGAGATTACAGTATGTTGTGACTGTGATAAATTACGAGACGACCAAACGAGACTGGTCTGGTGGCCGCCTGATGTCAGGTGTTAGCCTAGATGCCAGTGTTGGGGCAGCCTAGGTGCCTGGCTGTGGGTACTACTAGCACTGATCCCGATCCGATGAGTATGGGGGGAGGGTAGCCCCGATCCTAGGTGTTAGCCTATATTTAGATGCCAGTTTGGGGGTGGCCTAGATGCCAGTATGTGGGTAGCACAGATCCCGGTGTGTGTGTGTGGGGGGGGATCCACGATGCCGATAGCCGATGTGTGGGTAGCCTAGATTCCGGTGTGGGGGGTAGCCCCGATCCCAATGTTGGGGTAGCCTAGATGCTGGTATGTGGTAGCTTACATTCAAATATATGGGTAGCCCGAATGCCAGTGTACGGTAGCCTACTCCGGTGTGGAGTAGCCCATATCCCGTTGTGGGAGTATCCAACATGCCACTGTGTGAGAAACAGGTTTTCTATCCCGGTATCCCATCATCCCGCACGATTTTTTTGAAAACAAATGACTTCCCATTAACTGGTCCACCCCGGAGGGTAGACATTTTTAGAAATTAATTATATATATATACATTTTTTTTCATTTTTATTTGACAAAGTCACATATTGTCACATGTTGTCAGTTGTCACAAAGTATAAGCCAAGAAGACATGATCTCTTGGGGAACAGGAAGACTCTTGTTGTTAGCTGGTACTACCAATGGTAGAAGGGGAAAGTCCACGGAGACCGTGGGTAGCCATAAGTTAATTATCAGTGGTAGAAAAATACCGTAAACCAACATTTTTGTACATAACAAAATTATTTATTCTCAAAAAAAGATTTCGAAATCCTTCAGTATATCAATGCCTAAAAATAGCATTTCTAACGTGATAAAAATCTCATCCACTGCTGGGGCGGCATCGTCATCATGCAAATACGCCGCCATCTTGATTACCGGGCAAATAATACAAAGGAATTTGCTTCGGACTTACAATATAAAAGAGTTGGTCCCAGGTATACAATTACGGAGTTTGCCCCAGGTATACAATAATGGAGTTGGTTCCAGACATACAATCATGCCATTGGTCCCAGCAGTGTTGTAGTTTGGGTTAATGGCATCCGGGGCAGACTAATATTTTGTAGCCCCCTTGCACGAAAAAAAACCCCTCCCCAGTTGGCCGAAATAGTGCCGGGCCACCCGTCCGTACCCCACTTCCTACGCCGCTGGGTTCCGGACAAAACCGAACCTCAGCATGCCACAGAATAGGTCAGCAAGATAAAGGGCAGTAAAAAGGGTCAGACAACACAGAATGACCTGTGAAGACCCATGATGGCCAGTGACGACCTTAAAAGACCCAGGATGACCTGTGAAGACCCATGATGGCCAGTGACGACCTTAAAAGACCCAGGATGACCTGTGAAGACCCATGATGGCCAGTGACGACCTTAAAAGACCCAGGATGACCCGTGAAGACCCATGATGGCCAGTGAAGACCTTAAAAGACCCAGGATGACCTGTGAAGACCCATGATGGCCAGTGACGACCTTAAAAGACCCAGGATGACCTGTGAAGACCCATGATGGCCAGTGACGACCTTAAAAGACCCAGGATGACCCGTGAAGACCCTTGATCCACCCATTTCATTCAAGAGACTTGGCCTTAGTTCTGAGTGACATTTAGAACATATTTTTATCCTTCGTCGGCCGAAAGTAAACAGTGCGCTCTCAATATAGGGGCGCACAGGTGAACTGAAGAAAATATCGGTGTTAACAATATCCCCCCCCCCCCTGCCCCCTCATTCACCAAACCTGTCAGCCAGCTTCTGCGTCCAGGAAGAGCAGTCAAGTAAGAGCAGTGAAGGAAAAGCAGTCAAGGAAGAGCAGTCAAGGAACAGCAGTGAAGTAAGAGCAGTCAACTAAGAGCAGTCAAGTTAATGGAAACAAACCCACACCGAGAGTACTTTGACTTAAATGAGTCACCGATGTCTCCATTAAAGTCATCCTCACTGTAGTAACGTGTACGGTATAAGGGCTGGGTGGTGGGGGAGGAGGTGGGGGCTGGATGGGGGGGGGACATACTGGTTTGTGAAGTAATTGTGAGGATTAAAAGTATAGATAATCCACATTTATTACTGTTCACATTAGTTCACAAATACTTTCCTTGAATATACTTATTGTGGGGGTGGGGGAGGTGGGGGAGGAAATATGACGGGGGACTTGATATACTCTTGAAGGAACATACTTGCAATGACGTCATGTGTAGTAATGATGGGAACATACTTGCAATGACGTCATGTGTAGTAATGATGGGAACATAGTTGTAATGACGTCATGTGTAGTAATGATGGGAACACCCTTGTAATGACGTCATGTGTAGTAATGATGGGAACATAGTTGTAATGACGTCATGTGTAGTAATGATGGAAACATAGTTGTAATGACGTCATGTGTAGTAATGATGGGAACATAGTTGTAATGACGTCATGTGTAGTAATGATGGGAACACCCTTGTAATGACGTCATGTGTAGTAATGATGGAAACATAGTTGTAATGACGTCATGTGTAGTAATGATGGGAACACCCTTGTAATGACGTCATGTGTAGTAATGATGGGAACACCCTAGTAATGACGTCATGTGTAGTAATGATGGGAACATAGTTGTAATGACGTCATGTGTAGTAATGATGGAAACATAGTTGTAATGACGTCATGTGTAGTAATGATGGGAACACCCTTGTAATGACGTCATGTGTAGTAATGATGGGAACACCCTTGTAATGACGTCATGTGTAGTAATGATGGGAACACCCTTGTATTGACGTCATGTGTAGTAACCTCCTTGACATTTCAATGAAACTAAAACTGTGTAAGCATGGGTCACATTTTGCAGCGCACATTCTGGGAACCACTGCTCTGCGACTATTGCGCACATTCTGGGAACCACTGCTCTGCGACTAGTGCGCACATTCTGGGAACCACTGCTCTGCGACTAGTGCGCACATTCTGGGAACCACTGCTCTGCGACTAGTGCGCACATTCTGGGAACCACTGCTCTGCGACTAGTGCGCACATTCTGGGAACCACTGCTCTGCGACTAGTGCGCACATTCTGGGAACCACTGCTCTGCGACTAGTGCGCACATTCTGGGAACCACTGCTCTGCGACTAGTGCGCACATTCNCCCCCCCCCGTTGAATAACGCCCGTGACCCCAGGCGTCACCCCCCTCTCACTTACTTAGTCTCACCCTGTCAATAAAGACCATGACCTCATTCGGACCATCTCTGAATAAGCCTATCCTTATCATGTACCGGTAAGTTCGCTGATACACGAGTGATGGTGTTCATTTTAGTTGACCCGGTCTATCGGTCCATGGACGAGGACAGAATAAGGGCAACACTGGGGCTGAAAGCTTCACTTCACTTGTTATGGAAGACGTGGTGTTATTAGTTATGGAACACTTGATAACTTGTTTTTTTTTTTTTTAAATATAGAGGCTCTTATTCTTAAAGAGGAGACTCACACAAGTGCACATTAAATTATATCCATTTGATTGTACCAGACAAGTCTTGTACAACTTGTACAACAGTTTACCAAATGGACGCACCCCATATGGATATAAAGTTGGCATCATCAAGTACATGTGTACACTGTACACAAGTGCCCCCTCCCCAAAATTAAAAAAAATAAATAAATCACCTTTAACGCCTGGTGAGTGGTAGTGACGATACAAAGTGGCACAGAAACCCTATCCTTTTACTAACAGAGTTACCTCTATGGTACAAAGTAGTACCGGTATCTACACTTTTAATTTAAACTGAATAACTTTGAGATTGTTAACCCATAATTCATATACCGGTACGCGGTTATCTATATGAAATTAACATTAGCCATTTCCCCTAACCGACCATAGAATTCATCACATCGGAATGATGAATCATGAAAGTATACATCTCGACATCTGCCTGCAGTACCCTGAGTAGTAAGACCAGTCTGTCATGATGTACGGTACAAGTCCTGCACACCACGCATCCCCAATGACTAATTGGGTTGAGGGTAGCCAAAGTAAAAAAAAAAAACTAAAGGAAAAACCCCGTAACATTAAAAATTCCATCTTTCATTGTCAAGAGATATCTTAAGAACAGCCATCTTGGCGTAGCAGACTACTGCACTACGCATCACCCAACACGCAGTTACTCTGCTACCTGAACCGCCAGGTGAGGTATGCCTAAGCACGGTATCACAGGCGCTCAGGGATAGGTCTAGTCTAGTTGAATGAAGGGAATGGCTGCTGGCCTGGGTCTTCCTTTATCAAAGATGGAAACTATCATATGCAAATCTACCAGTCTATGAAGTGCCAAATTCAAAGTATGGTTATTGTAAACTTAAGTCAGTGGACATTGTCTCTCCCCAAAGCTGACTGTGCAACTACCATGTTGAGTAATTTGTTGGTCAGACACCCAGGACCATTTTGCTCTTGATAGACTCAAAATTGATGTGCCATTAGCTGCTTAGCCAATGATTACCCATATGGTACTACAGTCAGACAAGTTAAATTGCGTGTGCATAAATTTGTATTAAAATATACTGACACTCTACAGACATTAAAATTACAAACAAACAAAAAAATCAAACATTGGCAAAAGGACTGGAATTAATGAAGCAGAAATTTATTGTCAATTTGGACCACAAATAAAAACCTTGACAAGAATGATATGAAACATTTTGAAAGCCTAAACTGCAGATTTGAAGAGAGGACTGGAGAGCTAAAAGATTAGTCAATTACTTTTGTTAAGAAAAAAAAAAAAGGCCTAAAAAATGGGAAAACTTGACAAAAGATAAGCCAAAACCTTTTAAGCCTAAACTGAAGTTTGAAGAGACGGCTAGGGGATGAAGATGATTAGTAAAAAAAATCATTAGAAAATGGATGACTTCTGTTGGACCTCATTTAATTTAGGCATATTCCTGTCCCTCCCCCTCAGCTTCTTCCTCATCAAATTCACCCTCATCCTCGGCTGTGGCATCCTGGTACTGCTGGTATTCGGAGACGAGATCGTTCATGTTGGATTCCGCCTCTGTGAACTCCATCTCGTCCATGCCCTCACCGGTGTACCAATGGAGGAAAGCCTTACGACGGAACATGGCGGTGAACTGCTCAGAGATGCGCTTGAAGAGCTCCTGGATGGCGGTGCTGTTTCCGATGAATGTGGCTGACATTTTGAGGCCACGGGGAGGAATGTCACAGACTGCGGTTTTGACATTGTTGGGGATCCATTCCACAAAGTAGGAGGAATTCTTGTTTTGGACATTCAACATCTGCTCATCGACTTCCTTCATGGACATACGACCTCTGAAGATGGCGGCGACCGTGAGGTAACGGCCATGGCGGGGATCGCAAGCAGCCATCATGTTCTTGGCATCAAACATCTGCTGGGTCAGTTCTGGCACTGTCAGAGCGCGATACTGCTGGGATCCTCTTGAAGTGAGTGGGGCAAATCCTGGCATGAAGAAGTGAAGACGGGGGAAAGGGACCATGTTGACAGCCAGTTTTCTCAAGTCCGCATTCAACTGACCAGGGAATCTGAGGCATGTGGTCACACCTGACATGGTAGCACTGACCAAGTGGTTCAAGTCACCGTATGTGGGTGTGGTGAGCTTCAGGGTCCTAAAGCAAATGTCATACAAGGCTTCATTGTCAATACAGTATGTTTCATCTGTGTTCTCTACGAGCTGGTGGACGGACAGGGTAGCATTGTAAGGCTCCACAACTGTGTCTGATACCTGGAAAATAAAGAACATACATGAACTATTTGTTATCACAGCTGTAAAAAAAAAAAAACAACAAAAAAAAACCCTTAACCCAACTCTGTTAATGAACAGTGTGGTACTATAAACAAAAATATAAACAAAATCAGGTACTAAAGTAACAAATATTACAAAAAGAACTAAAAAAGAAAAGATGACTTACTTTTGGTGATGGTACAACGGAAAATGTGTTCATGATTCTGTCTGGGTATTCTTCCCTCATCTTGCTGATGAGCAGTGTTCCCATTCCAGACCCAGTGCCGCCACCAAGGGAGTGTGTGAGTTGGAAGCCCTGCAACCATAGACAGGCATTTTTAATAGGAAGATTTATAAATTTTACAATGGACACATAAAAGGCCATAAATGCTTTGTGACAAATTCTGCAACTACCAAATAATATCACAATAGTTCCTTTTTCAAAAATGAAAGTTCATCACCAGACATTGCTGAAAGAAGACAAGTAAACCATCAGCCATGTGCAACGTAATAAATTGTAGAGGAGTTACCTGAAGGCAATCGCAGTTCTCCGCCTCTTTCCTTACAACGTCCATTACCGAGTCAACAAGCTCAGCTCCTTCTGTGTAGTGACCTTTGGCCCAGTTGTTGCCAGCCCCGGATTGACCGAAGACAAAGTTGTCTGGTCTAAATATCTGTCCGAAAGGTCCTGACCTGACACTGTCCATTGTGCCTGGCTCAAGATCGACAAGGACTGCACGTGGGACATATTTTCCACCTAAGAAATTACACACACAAAAAAAAACATCAGAACAGCTGTGACATGTTAATTCTTGCATGTTGATGTTAATCCAAATTAGCCCAACAATTTTGTCATAAGTAAAACTTTCTGAAGGAAGTTAAGCCCTAAAATACCATCCGTAAACAAACCTTATGTTTAAAAAAAAATTCCGAGCTGAGTGTATTGTAAAATAAAGGTTAAAGGAATTATAAACCAACAATACCTGATGCCTCATTGTAATATACATTGATACGCTCTAGTTGGAGGTCAGAGTCACCATGATATGTGCCTGTGGGGTCAATGCCATGCTCATCTGAGATCACCTCCCAGAACTGTGGATGTAAAATAGCAGGTTAACAATGAGTCATCACTAACAGGTGAGTCATCACCAGCAGATAAAACTTGCTTACTAGTCGGCTGCAATCCCATTATCAGTTACAAACCACACAAGATATCTTTTCTGACTCAGATAAATGTTGATACGCTATTGGCAGATACAAATAGTTCAGACCATTGAATTCGCTGGTTGCATAACAAGTACAGGGTATTAACACAGTACACAGATAACCATAGCAATACCAGCAGTGCAGGGTATTAACACAGTACACAGATAACCATAGCAATACCAGCAGTGCAGGGTATTAACACTACACAGATAACCATAGCAATACCAGCAGTGCAGGGTATTAACACAGTACACAGATAACCATAGCAATACCAGCAGTGCAGGGTATTAACACAGTACACTGATAACCATAGCAATACCAGCAGTGCAGGGTACTTAAACAGGTACAAAAAAAAAAAAAAAAACACCCAGCAATACTCGCAGTTTGTACCAAGTAGTAGCCCATCTTCCAGTCATTCTTATGTAGCCCATCTTCCAGTCATTCTTATGTAGCCCATCTGCTATCCTAACATTTTTAGCCATAACATAATGGCTTGTTAATAAATGTTAAGCTATGACAGGTTTGAGATTGTGCCAACTTTGAATCCCATCACATTTGTGTCAATAACTTTGGATTCAATCACAAGGTGTCAATAACTTTGGATTCAATCACAAGGTGTCAATAACTTTGGATTCAATCACAAGGTGTCAATAACTTTGGATTCAATCACAAGGTGTCAATAACTTTGGATTCAATCACAAGGTGTCAATAACTTTGGATTCAATCACAAGGTGTCAATAAATGGTGTCAATAACTTTGGATTCAATCACAAGGTGTCTAATCAGACACCAGCAGGAGGACTATTAGGTTTAAATAAACAAAACAAAATAAAACACTGCAAATGGAGCAAACCTTACCAAAGGTCATCACACCTGACATGGTCATCACACCTGACATGGTCAGCTCAACATGAAATATATGGTAATATAGTCCTTAGCTTTAGTGCAATTTCAAAACTTGTCCATTGGTCCAACAAACATACGTTTGGGAACCGCTGGTTTAAGCCCATCCCCCACCTTTTTTAAAAATTTTTATTATTCCGTGATTCATATTTATGTTTCAATTATTTCAAACAAATCAGGAGCTCCAATTGAAAGAATGAAGTAATTCAAATGGGACCAGTGACCCCCCTGCGGGGCAAAAGAAAGACCATCCCGCCCAATTTAAATAGTAACTTGGTACGGTGCTGGGCGTATCGCAAGATAAGGTGAAGGGGTGGGGGCACTTTTAGCGGGAGAAGGAACTCCCAATTGAAAAAAAGAAAACTGGAAATAAGGTCATCCATTAAAAAAATATATTATTAAACACTTGTAACATTCGTTCGAGGATAACGATAATTGAAGTGAACTATTGGCACTGCTATTGTAAATATCGTGTTATAAGAATAGCCTGTTCGCACTGGCCTTAATAGCTGAGCCTTTGTCCTCGCCCCGCCTTGAGGGCGCGTGGTTTTTAGGCGCAGAGCCTGGCCGCCCTCGTCAGAATCCTGAGCACCAACGTCTAGTAATTTATAAATAATATATATGGTCATTCGTTTACACATTTATGCATTCGACCTCTTACCTTAGCACCAATTTGGTTTCCACACTGGCCGGCTTGAAGGTGGACAATTTCACGCATTTTGTTTTAGTGAGATGTGAAGTTTAACTGTCACGAGAAGAGAGCTGTGAGCTTGTTTGAAGTCCCCAGCCGGATGATTTTTATTTTATACTGTCAGTTGGGGAGATTTAAAATTCATCCGCCCAGCAATACAATAAAAATAGTTCTGCTTGTAATATGCTATACATGATTATATATATCAAATCTATGAAATCAGAAACCATTTGATAATGAAATAGAATGTATCAGCATATTTTTTTAACAATGTAAAAAACGATTGAATTTTTAAACTTAGTTTTTGCTTCCGCTCATGAATACAACTCCCTTTGACACGTCATGTCTATTTTTATGCAGATGACTTAGGAACCCCCCGAGTGCATCCCGGGTAGTGCCGGTACATATCTCAGCTAAATAACTTCTAACTTTGAAATTATGGAAAGTAATTCGTCTATAGCAATAACAGATTTTTCTGAAAATTTACTCGATAAAACAATTTATTTCAAAATCATTAAACTTGATGATAGTTTCTTTGCATGGGTTGGTTGTAATCCAATTTTATCAAACATGGCTGTAGCGATGCCGGCAAAATATGTAAGTAGGTCACGATGTCAGTTTACTGTAATAATCGGAAAATGTAACAATCAGATTTGTACATCTGTATCGGGGTTAAATTACAGTACGCCTACATCTTGTTGTCTGTAGTTTTGTCGTTCATATAATTAGGAAATGGGTTGCATGGAGATCCCCATTTTTAATGGAATTAAAATGCATGGTAACATTTTTTAAAGAATTGGTATGTGTAATCAAATACCGGTATTCGTATTGTTTATACGTGACAGTAAGCTCACTAAGTTCCTGACGTGTATTGAGTAAGGCCCGGCAGTGCGGAGCGGCTGGAGGGTGGGTGGGGGAAGGGGATGTTGTGTGTATGCCTTGAAATTAAAGCTAAAGCACAAGGAATACTTATCTAATAAATATGGGTCTGTGTTTGTTAGTTATAATAATAAAACATTTAAGTTTAAGCATTTTGCTAAATTGTCTATTCATATTTTAATTACCAATATTGGCAATATCATTTAAAGTATTAAGTATTAGTATTATGAATAATAATAATGTTACAAACTATGGATAATCTTTAAATATTTAACTTTGAAAATTGAAAATAATTATTGTAAACATATTTGAATTTGTCGTTTTTAGAAATTACCCAATTTTCCTCATTTATTATTATTATGCTTGTTTGACGAAAGCGGTGCAAAGATTAACCTTATCAAACAGCTTACTGGTACGGTACAAATCTGTTATTTGTCGACGAGTTAATAGCGTGCCACACTTTTTAACGATTTTACATTAGGTTCAAGGACTATATTTTCTTAAAACACGGGACCTCCCATCTATCAATAGACTGTAAAATTACACTATAAACTCTTAGCGACGACGACTTGTGGGAAGCATTAAAACATATATTATAATATATTCGAATCATGAAGCAAAACTATCGCTGACATTTCTTTCTTTCTAATGCCTACTAATGGCTTTCTTAGCTTCATTTTATTGGCAATGCATGTGTCTGAAATATATGCATGTCTAGGGTTAAAAAGTTCTGGAAAAGTAATCATTAGAAATGGAGACAAATCAGGATGAAAAGGTCACAGAATGTAAACAGTCGCCTTGGTTGTTAACCGGTTTTTCTCGATGCAATGGTGCCAGCGGCGAGCATACAAGCAGCGAGCTGACCAATCAAGTTCAAGCGGCGAGCATACAAGCAGCGAGCTGACCAATCAAGTTCAAGCGGCGAGCATACAAGCAGCGAGCTGACCAATCAAGTTCAAGCGGCGAGCATACAAGCAGCGAGCTGACCAATCAAGTTCAAGCGGCGAGCATACACCCACTGACCAAACAAGCCCCGAGGCTCACGGTCATACCAGCATCAGGTCGTAGGACCGGCAGTTCATTAGTTCACACATTATCACGTGACCACCGTGGTCACCGGATGGGTTTCATTAACGTCATGATGGTATGATGGCCAGGGTGATGTCATGATGGTATGATGGCCAGGGTGATGTCATTATGGTATGATGGCCAGGGTGATGTCATTATGGTATGATGGCCAGGGTGATGTCATTATGGTATGATGGCCAGGGGGTGTCATGATGTTATGATGGCCAGGGTGATGGATTCTGGAGATGATTCTGTGGCTTTTCATGTTACTAATGACGTAAGAAAACAATGTGTTCTAGCCCCAACTATTTTTAGCATGGTATTCCCAGTTATGCTGACTAATGCTTGTCACAATCGTTTGTGTATGTACGACGGCATGTGAACCTCGATAAAACACAAGTGCAGGAAGTAGCCTACAGCAGATGGGCGGCTAGGTCTTATGGTACAGGAAGTAGCCTACAGCAGATGATCAGCTATGTCGGATGGTACAGGAAGTAGCCTATAGCAGATGGTCAGCTAGGTCTTATAGTACAGAAAGTAGCCTACAGCAGATGGTCAGCTAGGTCTTAAGGTACACCAAGTAGCCCACAGCAGATGGTCAGATATGTCTTATGGTACAGGAAGTAGCCTATAGCAGATGGCCAGCTAGGTCTTATGGTACAGGAAGTAGCCTATAGAAGATGGTCAGCACGTTCTTATGGTACATCAAGTAGCCTATAGCAGATGGCCAGCTAGGTCTTATGGTACAGGAAGTAGCCTATAGCAGATGGTCAGCTAGGTCTTATGGTACAGGACGTAGCCTATAGAAGATGGTCAGCACGTTCTTATGGTACATCAAGTAGCCTATAGCAGATGGCCAGCTAGGTCTTATGGTACAGGAAGTAGCCTACAGCAGATGGTCAGCTAGGTCTTATGGTACAGGAAGTACCCTACAACAGATGGTCAGCTAGGTCTTATGGTACAGGAAGTAGCATATAGCAGATGGTCAGCTAGGTCTTGTGGTACAGGAAGTAGCCTATAGAAGATGATCAGCTAGGTCTTATGGTACATCAAGTAGCCTACAGCAGATGGTCAGCTAGGTCTTATGGTACATGAAGTAAGCTATAGCAGATGGTTAGCTAGGTCTTATAGTACAGGAAGTAGCCACAGCAGATGGTCAGCTAGGTCCTGTGGTACAGGAAATAGCCCACGGCAGATGGTCAGCTAGGTCTTATGGTACAGGAAGTAGCATACAACAGATGGTCAGCTAGTTCTTATGGTACATCGAGTAGCCTACAGCAGATGGTCAACTAGGTCTTTTGGAACAGGAAGTAGCCTACAACAGATGGTCAGCTAGGTCTTATGGTACAGGAAGTAGCCTATAGCAGATGATCAGCAAGATCTTATGGTACAGGAAGTTGCCCACAGCAGATGTTCAGCTAGGTCTTATGGTACAGGAAGTAGCCCAAAGCAGATGGTGAGCTAGGTCTTATGGCACATCAAGTAGTCTATAGCAGATGGTCAGCTAGGTCTTATGGTACAGGAAGTAGCCTACAGCAGATGGTCAGCTATGTCTTATGGTACAGGAAGTAGCCTATAGCAGATGGCCAGCTAGGTCTTATGGTACAGGAAGTAGCCTACAGCAGATGGTCAGCTAGGTCTTATGGTACAGGAAGTAGCCCACAGCAGATGGTTAGCTATGTCTTATGGTACAGGAAGTAGCCTATAGCAGATGACCAGGTAGGTCTTATGGTACAGGAAGTAGCCTATAGAGGATGGTCAGCACGTTCTTATGGTACATCAAGTAGCCTATAGCAGATGGCCAGCTAGGTCTTATGGTACAGGAAGTAGCCTATAGCAGATGGTCAGCTAGGTCTTATGGTACAGGAAGTAGCCTACAGCAGATTGTAGCTATAGGTCTTAAAGAATAAAAATAGAAGATAAAACCATGTACCTTAAAACTTCTTTAACATTGGATCAAAGTTCAAGTTGTTTTCAACCTCCCTTAACCCGACCCCTCCCACAAAACAACATCAACAAACAAACAAACCCACAAACATTCGCGACACACTTTAGTTATGAAATGATTAACATGTTGGTTTTTTTTTCCCCACAGGGCTCAATACCCACCAGCAGTGTCCTGTTTGGTTCAAAGTCAGAGCAGACGTCATCCACACTGGCACAGAAACTCGGTAGGGACGCACTTTTCAATTACACCAATGCAATAAAGCATTAAATCAAGTTGATACTGATTAAGTTAAAATTTGTGCCAACTCTCATTTTTAGTTTCTATATTATGGTGGTTGAGTCATAAACAGTCTGTTCATTATGGTGGTTCTCCTGGGACGGTCTAATGGAGGTCCTCCTGGGAAGGTCTAATGGAGGTCCTCCTGGGACGGTCTAATGGAGGTCCTCCTGGGACGGTCTAATGGAGGTCCTCCTGGGACGGTCTAATGGAGGTCCTCCTGGGACGGTCTAATGGAGGTCCTCCTGGGACGGTCTAATGGAGGTCCCCTGGGATGGTCTAATGGAGGTCCTCCTGGGACGGTCTAATGGAGGTCCTCCTGGGACGGTCTAATAAATGTCCTCCTTTGACGTTCTAAGGGAGGTCCCCCTGGGATGGTCTAATGAAGGTCCTCCTGGGATGGTCTAATGTAGGTCTTCCTGACACTCACTAGGAAGTAGTAACCCTTGTACATACTGCACACTCAATCTTAGATGTATAATTAAAACTGTAGTTCGGTTCTCACTAAGTGTTTAGTGATGCCCTGTCGAATACCTTTGTTTTTCAAATGGCCATTGGGGGGGGGGGGGGGGGGGGGGGGGCTTAGCTAACCACTGCCAGCGCTCAACAAGTTCTGGAAAAACAAATGTGGGAAATCCCCTAAGATCCCCCTCTTGAAATAAATATGTATTTTTATCCTTAAAAATGGATTCGAACGCCTTTGACTACCATTCATGCAAGACTCGCGCTGTGACCTCTGCCAGAAAAGGGAGATGTTGAGCCTAGAGACAGTATTGCCCCCCTGGCCCCAAGATTAGCCAAAGTTGCAAGACCTATTCGCGTCACTATTTTGAGACATGACCGTGACACATTGGCTTGATCAACTCCATTACTGTCTACTAACTTTGACTCCATTGTAGTGAATTAAGCAAGAGTTGGAAAATATTTACGTGAATAGGGCTCTGGAGTCGGATTTTTAAAAAAGATAAACTATTTACAATCTCACGAATGAAGTAGGCTGTTCAGTAACTATTGGTGTATAATTTAATTATGTTTATTTTTCAAAGTTTCAGTGAGACTTCATCTATTTTCCCTAAAAGGTTTTATTGGGAAGCAAAGGAATGCATCTCTTTACACAGTGCCGTCGCGTAGAGTCTTCAACCCCGGGCTGAAAAGGGGTGTGTGGGGGGGGGGTAGGGCTGCAGGGGGATGGGGGCTGGAATATATAAGATGTGATTAGGAAAAATCAACAACTCAATTTTGAATGAAAGGGACAGCAATCAAGTGGCAGAGGCGCCTCTTAAATTCACGCGACTGCTCGTGCTTGCGGGCATAGTATACGTCCTTCTCTGAACTGAATGACTATTTAAATACTTAACCTACAATCACACGATCTACAAAGTTATCACGGGATGTTCAGAAATACGCCCTTATTCGCTGAATTGTATTTTTAAATGTTTCCATTTCCATATAGCTTGTCTTGGCTGTCTATGCCAAGGTCAAGGTGAGCTGTGTGAATCAATAACTCACGTTGTTTTTCTTATTTTCCCGTGTTTCACTAGTGAAAAGATTCAACAGACAAGCTTTTGTCAGCTGCAGCGTGCCCTTTGACCCCAGCCTCTCGTTGCTCATTGAGAAAAGGTTGGTCGAGGAGCTGAGCAAGACATAACTGTAATCTGCTGCTAGTGGAGTAAATGGCTGAAACACTGGGGTTGATTGATGGAGCGTGAAAGGAACGTGACTCACAGAAGAGAGGTTGCAGTTATCGCCCCCTCCCCAGGGTCCCTGTTGTTACAACGTTTAATATGTAAACTTTAAAAAAATTAAGCACCTTACTTTTAGTTTGCTGTTGATATGTAACTGTTACTTTAAAAAATAAATGCAATTTGAATTATAGTAAACTTTGTTTGGTTTAAAAATGTGTTGAACTTAATGTTGATGAATCACCCCAGTTAAAAAAAAAAACGCTGCTTACTTCAACAACAAGAGTATAATTATTATCATAAGTATCCAACCTTTAACTATAAATAGCTTTTATTGGTCTTCTTTAAACTGTGCCCAGTTGGAAGTAACTTTGTTAGCTCCAAGATGTCTAATCAATAATAAGGCCATAACTTACACCATTTCTTGGGGGAAGAGGGAATGTAGACTAATCAAAGCACACATATCATTTCAACATCATCCAAAGTTTATCAAAACGTCAAAAATACATAAACATAGATACTAAGATATCGATACCTACTGGGTAAACATATCATATCATATAAGTACCATACGTGAAATGAATGCAGCAGCACTTGTCACATCTATAAAAAAAACAACGCTTTTTTAAATGGACTTTACAAAATTTCTATGGTGGAAGATTGCTAGACATTAATCTCTTAGGGTTTCTTTAAAATCAATAGAATAAATTAGCCGACGTTATTATTAGTTTTATGTTGAAACTTGTTACGTTGTTTTGTTCGTTTCCCACCACCCCCTTTTTCTTTCTTCTAGCACTTCGTGTAACTGTATCACACAGTTCAGGGGCCAGCATGCACCATTTGTGACCGGCTCTGTAACAAAAGCACATGCCGTCGACTTTAGAATTTTTAGGAAAAAAATTGATTTAGGTGACGTTAATTTGTAAAATTCAAATACATTTTAACACAGATAACTAAAAACTGTAAAGTATGCAAGAGAATAATTATGTATTAATAAATACATTTTTCATTAAAAAAAAAGTTTAAAGTAAAAAATAAAATAAATCATAACGTAATTATAACAATTTAAAAAAAAAAAAAGAAGAAGTGATTAGTGAAAAAATAAAAAAAGTATTCTGGCGTATACGAATTTAGAGCACCGTCGAACTCATTTTCTTTAGAATCAGAAAAAAAATATTTAAAGGGTAATAACTCCTTTCAGGTGTATAAAAGTAAAAAATCCATCAATATAAAAATACCGATCTCTGAAATAAACCTGAAAGTAGACGTAGGGGACAAATAAATGTATAAAATTAGTTTCTTAACAATTAACTACAAAAGGGAAAATTGTGCCAGTGATTCTAAAAGTTTGTTCAAAAAGTGAGGTGATTTAAATTTGCTTTACCTTTACTCAACTTTACTATTTCTAGTTATTACATTACTTAACTAGTACTAGATCTACTTATTATTACTTTTTCTTTTTTTTTTTTTTTTTTTTTTTTTTTTTTTTTTTTTACTTTACAGTACTAAGCATACTAATACTAATAGCCTACACAAAGACTTAGACAACTTATATATAGTTAGACTTACAATATTCACTTAACTTATTTAATGTATTCACTAATCTTAATCTTCTTACTTAATTAATTTATTTAGCCTTAGGCCTAGGCTAAGTACAAATATAGTACTAGTCAACTAGTACTAGTATTATTTAGTAATCACTTATGACTTATGTCTATGTTAAGACTTTTTATAAAGACTTTATACTTTATATTAGTTAACTTTTACTTTTAAGTAATGAGGAATGAATATGAATTAGCCATTGGCCATTTTTTTAGCACGACAAAATTGACAAAGACACTCTGTGGCCTGTGGCACAGGCTACTCCTATATATGTATACTAACTTTTTTCTAGTATGAATGTAAACAACCCACTTTATTGATATAGAAAGGAAGAGACCAGCCCGGAATAGCGATGTTAATGAGAACTAATATTACTTAAAGTCCCTTATATTTCTAAGACTACTAAGTGAATTCACTGAATGGGTGTTTTATTACACTAGTGAAATAATTTAATGTAGATGTCTTGTGTTCAAATTATTTTTTTTATGTGCGGAAAATGTAAAATGCCATCAAAAAACCTTATCTTATCTTCACTTATCTAAATAGTAAAAGAAGACACATTTTTAGTAGTCTATATATATATAACTATATATTAATTTTTCACGACATCTTTCACTTTCATGTATAGATAATAAATTATGGGAATATTCAAATTGTGATATTATTTAAACTTTATGACACCCATTATAATAATTAAAAATGGATATTGCTTTGATATTAATAATGTTCAATAGGTGTTTTGACCTAATATCATTTGTTATAATTTATTTAATTAAGGGGGGAATCATTGAACAATTTAAAAAAGACCTGACCAGTACAGGTTTGAAAATATTCATTAAACTAAGGATTATTTTTTTAACTCATTTAAAAAAAAAAAATTCTAAATCATAATTACACGTTAAACATTTTTCAGGACTTTGGGTGAACACCAGTTTTGTTCTCATTAGAATCAGTCAATGCATGGGAAGACAACTTGCATTAGTGCATATATCGGATCAATGCACTTTGTTATCTTCAGTGTATTACAACGTTCTCATTACACTCTCATTACTGATTTTGTTTACAACTCAGGCGTCAATTGGGTATGTATTCCACATTTCAGATTTTTGTGGAGTGTAGGTTAGTTATATATCTGTCTTCTTTTATTGATCTAAGAGACCTTTTAATGAAGTGAAGGCATCCATTAAATTGTACCTCTTTTGTGCCTGGCCAGGAAACTAAGTCTTATTTTTGAATACAATATGTTAGTGAAATGTTTAACAATTATTTTCATTTTCACATATTTCCAAAACAAAGAAATTACACTTAAGTGTCATATATTCAAAATCTAAATGCAAATAAAGGTTTGTTCCATTATTAGTCACTTTCATAATTTATTTCTACTTTCAATACATTTATATTGGTTAGGTATTTGCAAAGCATTCAGGATTTTGGGGAAGATGATTCAATGGACATTCTTAGACCTTACCTGACTCACCATGGTCCAGTGCACAGAACACACAGAGAAACTCGATCATGCCAGTCTGTCAAATATGGAAATGTGACGCACTCCAAATTTGCTGCCAACATCAACGTACCATTAACTCTACCACTCATAGAGGCTAACCATATGCTCAAAGAGGTACATTTGAATAATTATATGATTTCACACTGTCGGTTCCATTAGGTTTAACATGAAAACTTATGTAATAAATGATTATCCTATAAATCAAGCATCATTGTATTCATCTATTAAAATCTTGTCACTGTGGGGCACAATGGGTCGGATTACTTTGTAAGGGCACGTAAGGTTAGAGGGTGAGTTCATAGATGAGCTAGTTTGTTAATGGATAAAGTCAATGCAAGCATTACGAGACAGTAATGAAGGACGGAGGGGGTCTAGTTTATTGTTTGAATATGTCTATCCAGTCACATGACAAGAAAATGAGAACGTCATATCACAGACCAGAGTGAGAGTAAGAGCTTGGACAGACTAAGTCAAAAGTCAGACTAAAGTTGTGTCATAAAATGAAAGACCAATTTTGAAGTGCAATACACTAATAAAGAATGAAATTTAAACCAGTGTTATACCAATTGCCCAATTAATTTTTGATGCCCAAATTTATTTGATTCTTAAGCCGACAATATTTTGCACATTTTTGGTCTAAAAATAATTTTGCCCCTTTCTGTGCTGTTTTTTCTCTGGTTTTATTTTGCATTTATTTTGCAATTTCAATTAGGCGCCGAGATTAGTTTATTTATTTATTCAGGCATTTTTGTATGGCGCTTACCTTACAGCTTTAAGCGCTTTACAATTTTAAAAAAAATATGTAAGCTATTTAAACTGCTAAAGTAAAATAAAAATGAAAACAAGAAAGACTACTAGAAAAGTAACTACAAAGTTAAAAATGACTATAAAAACACTAGCTAAAACATTAAAAAATGGCTATAAAAACAAAGGACATTTTGGCATATACATTGGAAAAAAACAACATAAAAACAAAATCAACCCGAGACCAAGAACGAGGCAGTGCAGGGAGGGTGCATCACAGGTCATAGGCGGACCTAAACAGATGGGTTTTAAGGTACTTTTTGAAGTGGACGAGGTTTCACAATGACGGATGTGGAAGGGGAGCTGGTTCCAGAACGTGGGCGCGTGGAAGAAGAAGGAGCGTTCACCGATGGTCTTAGTTTTGGTTCTTGGGATTGAGAGGGTTCTATTGTCCGTGAAAGAGCGTAGTTGTCTTGTGGGGATCTAAGGAAGCAACGGTTCAGAGAGATAGACAGGAAAATGGGGGTCAGTGAAAGAGTTGAAGCATAGATTGGCAGACTTGTACTTGATGCGAGAGGATATTGGAAGCCAGTGGAGTTGCTGCATGCGTGGTTGAATGTGGTCGTGTTTCTTTGCTTTAAAAATGAGTCTGCATGCTGAGTTCTGTGCCTTCTGAAGTTTGTCTATGTGGAGTTGAGGAATGCCTGCGAGAAGAGAGTTACAGTAGTCAAATTTTGAAAGAATGAGTGAAGAGACGAGAGTTTTTGTGGCGTCAAGGGAGAGGAGGTGTCTAATGGTGCTGATTTTTCTGAGTTCGTTGTATGCTGATCTGCAGATGTTTGTGACATGTTTTCCCTGTATTTTCTAGAAGGATGGCGCAGGATTATTCAGACACTGTATTAAAGTTGGTGCATGGATATTAATGTTTAGCTGTTGTTAAACTTAACTTACTTTTTTCAAAATTGCATTTTATTTATCAAATTGAATTTTACTATGCATGCAATGGATAGTTATCTAATTAAGAATAAAAAATCTTTTAAAGATCACATTTGGCATTAAAAATACAATGTAGATCAATATTTTAAGTAAGGAATTCCTCTAAAGGAAAAAATTCCAAGCATTTTTTATACTGAAAATATTATTTGATACTGAGGCTCACATTATCTGGTAATGAAAACAATCGTAGCCTTACCCGCTGTTTTTCGCAGAAACCACCTAAAAATAATCCTATTGTCTGAACAATGTTGTGGACCAAATTTGAGAGCAAAGTCCCTAAATTCTCATTTGTGGATAAAACAATAAAAGACATATTACATTAATTCCAGACATTTTTGACAACAT